TTTCTCTATTTTTCTCTTTTTCCCTCCCTTTCTTCCTCCTTCCTTCCTTCTTTCTTTCTTCTTTCTTTCTTGTCCTGAGGCTTGAATTCAGGGCCTGGGCACTGTCCTTGAGCTTCTTTTGTTCAAGGCTAGAACTCTACCACTTTGAGCCACAGCAACACTTCTGGCTTTTTCTGTTTATATGGTACTGAGGAATGGAACCCAGGTCTTTGTACATGATAGGCAAGCACTCTACCACTGAGCCACATCCCCAGCCCAAAAGTCCATTTCTTTTTGGACAGTGTCCTCCTCTCTCTCTCATTCTCTCCCAGGAGTGTTATTTGTGTAATATCAAAACATCACTGGAGGATGAATAAGGGATTCTTCTACCTCTCAGTTTCCACACAAAATTATAAGTCCTTCAAATCCACTCAGGAAAAGCATTTGGGGGCTGGGAAGTGGCTTAGTGGTAGAGCACTTGCCTTGCATGCATGAGGCCCTGGGTTCGATTCCTCAGCACCATATAAGCAAAAAGAAAAAAGCCAGAAGTGGCACTGGGCTCAAGTGGTAGAGCGCTAGCCTTGAGCTGAAGAGCTGAGGGACAGCGCCCAGGCCGAGTTCAGGCCCAACGACTGACCAAAAAAAAAAAAAAAAAAAAAAATAGTGAAAAGCATTTGGGATATCTCACAATAGCACAGTCATCCAAAGTGAAAATTTTAGCAAGGATTTATTTCAGTGTAATACGGATAATATAGGGAGGGACAGAAAAAAGAGAAGCATTTCCTGCTTCCTATGCAAGAACTGGGAGTTAAAATTTTAAAATGAGAGCTGTTACTCACTGCCTTTGTTCTTTCTGAGCTGGGGAAATACAGGTGCCCAGATCAGTCTAGGGATTGACTCCTAATCCTTTGACAATGGGTTTAGGTAGGTAAGAGGGGTGAGGCCCATTCAACTACCTGTAATCCTCCAGGAAAAAAATTTTTTGACCAGATATACCTTTCATTCTTTCTGGGTTTTCCCATCTAAAAATTTTTTTCCCTTGTGTGTATGTCAATACTAAGACTTGAACTCAGGGCCTGGGTACTATCTCTGAGCTTCTTTGGCTCAAGGCTAGTGTTCTACCACTTGAGCCACAGAGCCACTTCAGGCGTCTGTTTATGTGGTACTGAGGAATTGAACCCAGGGCTTCATGTCTGCTAGGCAAGCACTCTACTACTGAGCCACATTCCCAGCCCTCCCTTAACTTTTTTGCTCAAGGCTAGTGCTCTACTACTTGAGCCACAGCTCCAATTGGTGCACCCAGAATGCTCCCTTTTCTGAGAAACACCAGGATTTAATTCGTTTGCTTGAAACTATTCTCTTTACTCATCAGCCCACTTGGGATGATTGCAGTCAGGTCCTTTTTAACCACTGAAGAGAGAGAACGTATCCGAGGCGGCCTGGAAACATATCCCTGGCCCCACAGGAGCACCCATCACAGATCCTGTCCTGATCGCTGCCTATTTTCCTGAGATCCGACCAACATGGGACTGCAATACGGTTGAAGGTAGGGAGCGACTCCTTGTCTACCGCCAGGCTCTGTTGGCAGGTCTCAAGGCGGCGGCTCACCGACCTAATATGGCCAAAGTTTATGATGTTAGACAGGGAGGAAGTGAAAGTCCAGCAGCATATCTTGAGCGGCTCATGGAAGCTTTTAGTCAATATACACCGTATGATCTTGACATCCAAGAGTCAGCTCAGATGATTATGTTTGCCTCACCGGACATAAAGCAGAAGTTGCAGGCTCTAGACAGATTTGGTGAAGTCTATTAGGGATCTAGTAGCTGTGGTGGAAAAGGTTTACAATAAGAGACAGAGGAGCAAAGACAGGAAAGGAAGGACAGAGAACATGAAATTGAGCATGAAAAGAGAGACCGGGCCAAGAAAAAGAGGCCAGACTTGTTGGACTCGCCACTATCGCATACTGAGCATACCTGGTTCACAGACGGCAGCAGTTTCATTCAAGATGGAAAAAGGTACGCGGGCGCAGCAGTCACCATGGACACTGAGGTAATGTGGGCAGAAGCACTCCCCCAGGGAACGTCTGCACAAAGAGCAGAACTAGTGGCACTAACAAAAGCCCTACAGATGGGAAAAGGGAAGAGACTAAACATTTACACAGACAGTCAGTATGCTTTTGCCACCGTGCATGTCCATGGAGCCATTTACCAAGAGAGGGGGCTGCTGACAGCTGAGGGAAAGGCTATTTAAAACAAACAAGAAATTTTAAGCCTCATCTGGGCCTTATGGGAACCAGCAAATATTGCCATTATGCACTGCCCTGGCCATCAAAACGGAATGGATTCTATAACCAAAGGAAATAACTTGGCTGATCAGGCAGCTAAGGAGGCGGCCCTCCAGCCCAGCGCGGAAGTACTGACTCTAGTAGACCGAGGGCCATGAGCTTTGCCTCCTGAGCCTCAGTACTCCCAAGAAGACTTGGAGTGGATAAAGAAAATTCCCATGGCCTATAAACCCCCAGACAGAGAAGGAAACAAAGACTGGTGGAAAACTGGTGAGGGGAAACTTATCTTGCCACAAAGATTGGGCAAGGGGATTCTTAAGAGAATCCATCGGGCCTCTCACATGGGAACCCGAAGAATGCAGGACTTGCTCCGACACTCAGAAGTAAAAATTAGGCAGGAAATCAACTCAATGAGGACATTGTTAAAAATTGTAAAGCCTGTCAGCTCACTAATGCCCCCAATCAACCGGTTACAAACGGAGCTCACTTCCGTGAAGATAGGCCAGGTGTGCATTGGGAAGTAGACCTCACAGATATTAAAACTGGAAAATTTGGATATAAATATTTGCTAGTTTTTGTAAACAACTTTTCAGGATGGGTTGAAGCCTACGCAACAAAACATGAGACCGCAAATGTCGTGGCTAAGAAGATCCTGGAAGAAATCCTACTCAGGTATGGCTTCTCATCCACCATCAGGTCGGACAATGGACCGACCTTCATCTCAAAAGTAAGTCAGGGGGCTGGGAAGGTGGCTCAGTGGTAGAGTGCTTGCCTTGCATGCCTGAGGCCCTGGGTTCGATTCCTCAGCACCACATAAGCAAAAAGAAAAAAGCCAGAAGTGGCGCTGTGGCTCAAGTGGTAGAGCGCTAGCCTTGAGCTGAAGAGCTGAGGGACAGAGCCCAGGCCCAGAGTTCAGGCCCCACGACTGGACCCAAAAACAAAACATCACAAAACAAAAAGTAAATCAGGGAATAGCCGCGGCACTGGGGACGGATTGGAAATTGCACTGTGTTTATAGACCCCAGAGTTCAGGGCAGGTAGAAAGAATGAATTGGACTCTAAAAGAGACCTTAACTAAATTGGCCTTGGAGACTGTCGCAGACTGGGTATCGCTCCTTCCTTTTGCCTTGTTTAGAATAAGAAATTCACCCTATTGGCTTGGCTTTAATTTCTTGCTGATTTGGATGATACTTAATTTCTGTGTAAGCTTGACTATTTACAGCTGGTGCATAAGAGTATGTGGCCGCAGCTTAGAGCATTATATGATTCTGCTTCTATTCCTACCCACCATTTGTTTAAACCAGGGGATTGGGTGTTTGTTCGAAGGCACAACTTGAGATCTCTGGAACCATGGTGGAAGGGACCTTACATGGTGCTACTGGCTATACCCACTGCCCTTAAGGTGGACGGCACTGCTGCTTGGATCCACTGCTCCCACACCAGACTGGCTGACCCCTTTGCCCTGGATGACCGTGGGGAAAGGAGTCTCCAAGCATCCTACCCAACCACTCCGCATACATCTCAAGAAAAGAAAAATAGACTGTTATTGGTATACCCGTTTAAGATCAAGAGCTGTTGGAGTTTAGTTTGGGGCCAGAGCCACAAGATTGTGGCTCAGGACCATAAGTCAAGGGGAAGAATGAAAGGATAGAGTATTTGAGGCAGTGACCATTTGTTGCTTGTTTCAGAACAGAGCAACATGTGGTGGTAATCCAAACACCTGGTTGATTGTGTGCCTTTATAACCCCTGCAAATCCTTAGCTCGGGGCTCTCCTCCTGGGCTCCTCTGTGTTGGAGTGTAGGACAAGGCCCGAGCTGCAGCCCGTTTAAATAAAACGGGAGTTTTATTGTGGAGTCTGACTCTCAGTGGTCTTCTTGGTGGGAGTCCTGCGACCTTGGCATAACACTGCCCAGGCTGGCTTCAAATTTTGATCCTCAGATCTTAGCTAGGATTACAGTTGTGAGCCACTGGCACCAGGCTTGATATCATTTTAGAATGGCCTGTCCTTCATAATTGTATAAGAGTTACAATTAGGCTTTCTTTTCAAACTTGTTCTTAGCTGGGCACCAATGGCTCACACCGTAAATCCTAGCTTCTCAGGAGGCTGAGAACTAAGGATTGAGGTTTGAAGCCAGCCCAAGCAGACAAATCTAGCAAATAGAAACAGAGGCATGGCTCAAGTGTAGAGTGCCAGCTGTGAATGAAAAGGTCAAACAAGAGCACAAGCCCCACTATTGACAAGAAAAAAAAAACTGTTAGATCTAGGCATCAGTGGGTAGCTTCATATCTATAAATCCTAGTTTCTCAGGCTGAGAAACTTACAGAATTGTAGTTCAAGACTAGCCCTGGATGGGCTGGGAAGGTGGCTCAGTGGTAGAGCACTTGCCTTGCATGCATGAGGCCCGGGGTTCGATTCCTCAGCACCACATAAGCAAAAAGAAAAAAGCCGGAAGTGGCGCTGTGGCTCAAGTGGTAGAGCACTAGCCTTGAGCTGAAGAGCTGAGGGACAGCGCCCAGGCCCAGAGTTCAGGCCCCACGACCGGACCCAAAAAAAAAAAAAAAAGACTAGCCCTGGCAAAAAGTCTGAGATTTCATCTCCAAAATAACCAGGATGGAAAGCAGGGTGGGAGATATAGCTCAAGTGAGGCTCTGAGTTCAAACTCTGGCAAAAATTAATAATAATAATAATAATAGGAATAATAATAATCTAGTACAAAAAAAGGACCAGAGACAGGAGGCAGCTGTAGAGCATTGTCTAACATGTACAAGGCTCTGAGTTTGGGTTAAAGGTGTGGTTCAGTTGGGAGAGCGCCATTCAGTAAGCAGCAGCCTCAGGTTTGAATCCCAGTCTCGGATCTAAAAAAAAGAAAAAGAAAAAGGCTCTGAGTTCAAATCCTTCTACCACTAAAGAGAAAATGACAGACTTACAAGGATTAATGGTGCACACCTATAATATTAGCACTTGGCAGGCAGAGGGAGGAAGAATATGAGTTTGAGGTCAGCCCAAGCTACATATTAAGACTATGCCTCCAAAAACAAAACAAATAACAACAAAAAGTAGGCTGTTTCTTTTGTTGTTGTTGTTGGTCTTGGAGCTTGAACTCTGGGCTTGGGTGCTGTCCCTGCGCTCTTCAGCGCAAAGCGAGCACTCTACTGCTTGAGCCACAGGGCCACTCCCGGTTTTCTGGCGGTTTATTGGAGATAAGAGTCTCACAGACTTTCCTGCCCAGCTGGCTTTAAACCATGATCCTCAGATCTCAGCCTCCTGAGTAGTTAGGATTACAGGTGTGAGCCACTGATGCCTGGCTAGTAGGCTGTTTCTATACTTTGGCTATCTAAAGAATTCTGCAATTAATATGAACATGGTACTTCGGGTACCTCTAGCTGGGCCTACGTCTTTTCCTTCGAGTATTTATCCAGCAATAGGATTTCTGGGTCACAAGATAATCTGATTATTAATAAGCTAGGTACAGAAAGACAAATACTAGACAAACTCTCTTCTTGATGGAACATACCAAAGTTGAACTCGTAGAAGTAGAAAGAGTGATGGTGGGTACCAGAGTCTAGGGAGGGAAAAGCAGAAAGCAAGAGCACAGGGATGAGATGCAGGGAGAATTGCAGCTGAATTAACTTTCCAATTGCCAGCAGCAGGGTTTATGAAATATGGCTCAATCACCAACAGAAGATAACAGTAGCAAAGAGCCAGGAACAATCAAAAACCCATAGGACAAGATGTCTGGATTTATTTCCACTGGTGTTATCTACTCTAAGTAGTGTGTCCTTGGCTTCAGGTACTGCCCTAAGGCATAGATTCTGTGGTCCTTCTGATTTTCCTTCAGTCTTACTGATAAATGAAGGGACAAAGGTGTTTTGTGCACTACCGACTATTGGATAAGTTCTAAGACTGAACCAACTCCACTGAGGAAACACACATGCACATGAATGGTTTACATAGAGGTAGGAGAGCCATTCTAGCCAAGTGTGGTGGTACATGCCTATAATTCTAGCACTTGAGAGGCTGAGGCAGAAAGATGTGAATACAAATCCAGCATCCTGGGCTACATAGTGAGAGCCTGTTTCAGTCTCTCTTCACCTCAAGAAAGATCCATTTCTTGAAAAGATTGACTGATCTACAAGAAAGATATTCAACTAATACAGACTAAAGAGCAGAGAAGGAGGGGCTGGGAAGGTGGCTCAGTGGTAGAGTGCTTGCCTTGCATGCATGAGGCCCTGGGTTCAATTCCTCAGCACCACATAAGCAGAAAAAGCCAGAAGTGGGGCTGATGCTCAAGTGGTAGAGCGCTAGCCTTGAGCTGATAGAGCTAAGGGACAGCACCCAGACCCCACAACTGACAAAAAAAAAAAAAAAAGAACAGAGAAGGAGAGACTGCAGCCACCGGTACTACACAATCAATTGCCTATATCACTTGGTTGAGTTCTTTAAATTCATATCAGGACTTGACCCACAACTTTAAACTTGATACTTTTGTTTTTGTCTGTCATGGGGCTTGAACTCAGGGCCTGGGGACTGTTCCTCAGCTTTTTTACTCAAGGCTAGCACTCTACCACTTTGAGCCACGGCTCCAAGTTTTCTGGGGGTTAATTGGAGATAAGAGTCTCATGGACTTTCCTGCCCAGGCTGGATTTGAACTGCAATCCTCAGACCTCAACCTCCTGAGAAGCTAGGATTACAGGCATGAGCACCAGCACCAGAGCCACCAGCATCCAGCAAACTTGACACTCTTGAGGGAGATCTCATAAAGAAATCTATCTTTGAATGTCTACCCTATAGTATAATTTGAGATGGTGCCACCTAGTGGTCAATTCTAAAGTTGTGTTTTTAAGTAAATACAGAAGCAAAGTCACACATGGTATAATAAAGAGGTGTTGTTAAATACCTATGGAATTAACCAAGCCATACATATGACATACATATGAATGGTATGCTGAAATCTAGGCACCATTTTCAAGGTCAGTGAAGAGGCTGAATGTCACTTCTAAGCAACAATGTCCATGCTGAATGTGAGGCATTGGCGCAGGTGGCAACAGTAGCTGTGGAAGAGAGTAAGGTGTAAAACATTCTTCTAGATTTGAGCCTAGATGTCTATAATTAGGCCTCTGAGCTGATCTAAGGATCTTTTGAACAATTTAGAAACCAGGGACACTTGGGGCTGGGAAGGTGGCTTAGTGGTGGAATGCTTGCCTAACAAGCATAAGGCCCTGGTTAGATTCCTCAGTGCCACATAAACAAAAGGAAGGAAGGAAGGAAGGAAGGAAGGAAGGAAGGAAGGAAGGAAGGAAGGAAGGAAGGAAGGAAGGAAGGAAGGAAGGAAGGAAGGAAGGAAGGAAGGAAGGAAGGAAGGAAGGAAGAAAGGAAGGAAGGAAGGAACCAAGGACACTGATTCTTTTCCAGATCCATTGGTTTTTCTTTTCTTTTTCTGCCAGTCATGGTGCCTGAACTCTGGGCCTGGGCACTGTCCCTCAGCTCTTCAGCTCAAGGCTAGTGCTCTACCACTTGAGCCACAGCACTACTTCCAGCTTTTTCTGCTTATGTGGTGCTGAGGAATCGAACCCAGGGCCTCATGCATGCAAGGCAAGGACTCTACCACTGAGCCACCTTCCCAGCCCTTTCTTTTCTTTTTTTATCCATCATGGGGCTTGAACTCTGGGCCTGGGCGCTGTCCCTCAGGTCTTCAGCTCAAGGCTAGGGGTCTACCACTTGAGCCAAGTACAACTTCTGGTTTTCTAGTGGTTTATTGGAGATAAGCGTTTCACAGCTTTCCCTGCCCAGGCTGGCTTTGAACTGCAATCCTCAGATCTCAGCCTCCTGAGTAGCTAGGATTACAGGCATGATCCACCGGTGCCTGGCTTCTTTTCTTTTAGATCCAAGACAAGGATTCAAACTTTGTACAATTACTAGTTTTTGACTCTGCTCATTTTCTTCTGGATCCCTAAAGTAAGTCCGTAAAATCAGGGGGGAGGGTTGTTTGTTGTAAGTCATGTTGTTTATTTTTTGTCAGCTCAAGGCTAGTGGCTCTTCCACTTTGAGCCATAGCTCACTTCCTGTTCTCTGGTGGTTAACTGGAGATAAGAGTCTCTGGGGGGCTGGGAAGGTGGCTCAGTGGTAGAGCGCTTGCCTTGCATGCATGAGGCCCTGGGTTAGATTCCTCAGCACCACATAAGCAAAAAGAAAAAAGCCGGAAGTGGCGCTGTGGTTCAAGTGGTAGAGCACTAGCCCTGAGCTGAAGAGCTGAGGGACAGCACCCAGGCCCAGAGTTCAGGCCCCACGACCGGACCCCCCCCCCAAAAAAAAAAAAAGTCTCTGGTACTTTCCTGTGTGAGCCACCTGAGCCCAGCCCCATCTCTCTCTCTCTCTTTCTCTCTTTTTTGGTCGGTCCTGGGGCTTGAACTCTGGGCCTGGGTGCTGTCCCTCAGCTCTTCAGCTCAAGGCAAGTGCTCTACCACTTGAGCCACAGTGCCACTTCCGGTTTTCTAGTGGTTTTTATTGGAGATAAGAGTCTCACAGCCTTTTCTGCCCAGGCTAGCTTTGAACTGCGATCCTCAGATCCCAGCCTCCTGAGTAGCTAGGATTACAGACGTGAGCCACCAGCGCCTGGCTCCCCATCTCTTTTTTGAGACAGGATCTCACTATGTAGCTCAAACTAGCCTTGAACCCTGTTGCCTAGGCTGGCAAGGATCTGAAAGGATGAAATCTCCAATTAGCTAGAAAAAAATTCAGAAATGGAGGTATGGCTCAAGTGGTAGAGTACTACCTAAGAGCAGAAAATGCCAATGGGAAGCGAGAGGTCCTGAGTTTAGGCCCCAGTATCAGCCCAAACAAGCAAACAAACAAATTAAAAAAAAAAAAGCCAATTAAAAGTATTTTGCCAAAGAAAAATATACAAATTGTCAATAAGCATATGAAGAGAAGTTCAATATCTAAGCTCTCGCTTAAACTCATAACAAAAGCAGTGAGGAAAGTCACTGATGGGTCATGCTTGCAATCCACACTACAAGGAGACTAAGATCTAGAGGATTTGAAGCCAGACTGAGCAATAAAATGCCAGAATGGAGGTGTGGTTCAAGTGGTAGAGCACCAGATTCAAATGACTAAGAACATGAACTTCTGAGTTCAAACACTGAGTAGCACACACACACACATACACATTGAAATATATCACTTTAGGAGATATATAGATATAAGGAAAAAAACAATAATAAGCCTTGGTGAGGATGTAGAGAAATCAGAATTCCCATATACTGCTACTAGAAACATAAAGGATGCAACCATTTTTTAAAACAATTTGGTAGTCCCTCAAAAAGCTAAACCAGAGCCAATTGCTGATGGCTCATGACTGTAATCCTAGTTACTCAGAAGGCTGAGATCTGAGGGTTGCTGGTTCAAAACCAGCTTGGACAGGAAAGTCTGTGTGACTTTTTTATTTTTCCGACATGGAGCTTGAACTCAGGGCCTAGGTGTGTCCCTGAGCTATTTTGCTCAAGGTTAGAACTCTGGTGATTAATTGGAGGTAAGAGTTTCACAGACTTTCCTACCTGGGTTGGCTTTGAAATACAATCCTCAGATCTCAGCCTCCTAAGCAGCTAGGATTTCAGCACTCATTTAAAAAAAAGTCAGAAGTGGAGCTGTCGCTCAAGGGATAAGAATGCTAGACTTGAGTAAAATTAGCTCAGGGACAGAGTTCAGGCCCTGATTTCAAGTCCTAGGACCAGCACCACAGCTAACCTAGGAGTTACCATATGACCCAACAATCCCACTCTGGAGAACTGAAAACATACGTTCACACCTACACTTGTACATTGACATTCATAGTAACATTGTTCATAATAGCAAACAGTAGAAACTAAATCTCCATCATCTAATTAAGATAAAATGTGAAGAGTCAGGCATGGTGACACCTGAAATTTTAGCACTTTAGAAGCAGAGATACAAATTCAAGGCCAGCGAAGGCTACAGAATGAGACCCGCCGGGCGCTGGTGGCTCATGCCTGTAATCCTAGCTACTCAGGAGGCTGAGATCTGAGGATCGCGGTTCAAAGCCAGCCCGGGCAGGAGAGACTGTGAGACTCCTATCTCCAATAACCACCAGAAAAACCGGAAGTGGCACTGAAGCTCAAGTGGTAGAGTGCTTGCCTTGAGCTGAAGAGCTGAGGGACAGCGCCCAGGCCCAGAGTTCAAGCCCCACGTCCGACCAAAAAAAAAAAAAAAAAAAGAGACTCAAAACAAAAAACAAACAAACAAATCTTTACCATACCATATTATTTGTTTATATAAAAAGGAATGAAGGGAAGGTGGCTCAGTGGTAGAGCGCTTGCCTTGCATGCATGAGGCCCTGGGTTGGATTCCTCAGCACCATATAAGAAAAAAGCTGGAAGTGGCACTGTGACTCAAGTGGTAGAGTGCTAGCCTTGAGCTGAATTGTTGAGGGACAGCACCCAGGCCCAGAGATAAGGCCCCATGACCGGACCCCCACCCCCCCAAAAAAAAAAGTAATGAAGGCTGGGAAGTTGGCTCAGTGGTAGAGTGCTTGCCTCGCATGCATGAGGCCCTGGGTTCAATTCCTCAGTACCACATAAGCAGAAAAAAGCCAGAAGTGGCACTGTGGCTCAAGTGGTAGGGTGCTAGCCTTGCTGAGGAGCTCAGGGACAGCGTCCAGGCCCAGAGTTCAGGCCCCATGACCGACAAAAAAAAAGGAATGAAGCTGCTAGGTGCTGATAGCTCATGCCTGTAATGTAACTTTAGCTATTCAGAAGGCTGATATCTGAGGATCAAGGTCTGAAACCAGCCTGGGTAGCAAAATATAAAAGACTCTTATTGCCAGTCAACTAGTAAAAAACTGGAAAAGAAGGTAAGGCTCAAGCGACAGAAAATCATCTGTAAGGGGAAAAGTACAACAAGATCATGGGGACCTGAGTTCAAGCCCTAGTACCAAAACAGGGGCGGGAGGGAAATGAAGAACTGTGGCAAGACAAAAGACAGAATAAAAAAAAATGAAAAAAGGAATGAAGGTGGGCCTGCCAGTAGCTCATGTCTATAATCCCAGCTACTCTGGAGGGTGAGATCTGAGGATCATGATTCAAAGCCAGCCCAGGGATAAAAGTCTGTGTCTCAAGACTCGTTATCTCAAGTTGACAAACAAAACGACAGACTGGAAACAAGGGCCATGAGTAAAAAACTCCAGTGAGAACAGGAGGCCTTCAGTGTTCAAGTTCTGGTATTAGCGCGCGCGCGCACACACACACACACACACACACACAAAATGCTGATATTAGCTATAGGACTGATTAACTCTAAAAATATTATGGTAACATAAGCACTGGGTAGGCTGGGAGTGTGGCTTAGTGGTAGAGTGGTTGCCTAGCATGCATGAAGCCCTGGTTTCAATTCCTCAGTACCACATACACAGAAAAAGCCAGAAGTGGTGCTGTGGTTTAAATAGTATTACACTAGCCTTAAGCAAAAGAAGCTCAGGAGCATTGCCCAGGCCCTGAGTTCAAGCCTCAGGACTAGTAAAAAATAAAATAAAGAAGTGCCAGGCACTGGTGGCTCATGCCTGTAATCCTAGCTACTCAGGAGGCTGAGATCTGATGATCAAAGTTCAAAGCAAGCCTGGGCAGAAAAGTCCCAGCGAGACTTATCTCCAATTAACAACTCAAAAACCAGAAGTAGAGCTGTATCTCAAAGTGGTAGAGTGGCAGCTGAGCAAAAGAGCTCAGGGACAGGGCCCAGGCCCTGAGTTCAAGCCTCACAACTGACAAAAAAAAGAAAAAAAAACAGCTAGACATAAATGGTTACATATTGTGTGCTTCTCTTCGTAGGAGATGTACAGAATAGGCTAATCCATGGACATATCCATATAAATACTAGAATACTAGTAGCAGGCCAGAGTAACTCAATGGTAAATCTCTTGCCTTTGACAAGGGTCCAGGTTCTGTCCCTTCAGCAAAAACAAACAAAAAAAATCGATTAATGCTTAGGGATAGGGAGTAATGAACAACCACTGCTGATGTTAACAAGGAGATTATTTGAGGGGAGAGTGATTATATTCAAGAATTAGTGCTTAATGATTTTTGGGATGACAGGCCAGGAAGATCCTGGTCAAGGAAATCAGAGCTCAGATTCCAGTGCTTTTTCAACTCTTCTCCACCTTTAAGCCTCAATAAAATGATTTGACCTCCTAACTGTCTAAGATGATCAAAACCAAGAAAATTTTGGGGAAAATATCACAGCCCAAAACAACCTAAGACATGAAGAATGAATGCAAGGTTGGGATCCTGGAACAGAAAGAGAAAAAATACAAATGTATGCACCAAACCCATTCTTCTTACAAGTGACTTAACTTCACATTAACGATAAGGGAAACCACGTGAATATAGTTGATCTTTATGAACCACCTTTGCCAATTTTCTGTTTTTGTTTTGGTTTCTTTTGGTTGGTCATGGGCCCGAATTCTGGGCCGGGGCACTGTCCCTCAGCTCTTCAGCTCAAGGCTAGTGCTCTACCACTTGAGCCACAGTGCCACTTCCAGCTTTTTTCTGCTTATGTGGTGCTAAGAAATTGAACCCAGGGCCTCATGCATGCAAGGCAAGTACTTTACCACTGAGCCACCTTCCCAGCCCCATCTTTGGCAATTTTCTATATAACTAACATCTGTTTACAAATTTTAAAGTATTTTCTAAACGGACACCTGTAGCAGCACTTCCTTCACTAGATTGTTGTGGAATTGGGTGGCCAAATGCAGGCTCAGCGCTTGGTACATAATATAAGGGAGGCCTGGTGACAGTGGCTCACACCTGTAATCCTAGCTAGCTGAGATGTAAGGATCGCGGTTTGATGCCAACTTGGGGGAGGAAAGCCTGTGAAACTTACCCCGCTCCCGATGGCCCTGGGGCTTGAACTCAGGGCCTGGACGCCATCCTTCAGGTTCTTTTGTTCAAGGCTAGCACTCAGCCACTTGAGCCTCAGCGCCACTTCCGGTTTCCTGGTGGTTAATTGGAGATGAAAGTCTCACAGGCCTTCCAGCCCCAGCTGCCTTTGAACCATGATCCTCCGATCTCAGCCTCCTGAGTAGCCAGGATTACAACTGTGAGCCACCGGCACCCGGGGCCCCGTGAAACCTTTTTTTTAGGGGGGTTGGGGTGGGGGAGTCAGTTGTGGAGCCTGAGGTGTGGTCCTGGGCGCTGTCCCTGAGCAGTTTTGCTCAAGGTTAGCACTCATCACTTTGAGCCATCGCGCAACTTCCCGTTTTATGATGGTTAATTGGAGATGTCTCATGGGGACTTTCCTAACCCGGGCTGGCTTCGAGCCGCGATCCTCAGATCTCAGCCTCCTGAGTAGCTAGGATGACAGGCGTGAGCCACCGCCGCCCGGACCGTGAAACTTACCTGCAGTTTATCACCCAAAAAGCCAGAAGTGGATCTGTGGCTCAAGTAGAGAGCGCTAGCCTTGAACAAAAAGCTCAGGGTGGGCGCCCTGGCCCTGAGTGCAAGCCCAGGACCAGCACACCAAAATAAGTGGGAGAAAAATGAGAGTGGGGGGCAACAAGCTCATGTAGCTGTAACCCCCCTGTCCATCAGCTTGACAATAAACATAATAAATGATCTAAAAGATAAAACAAATGTGAGAGACCCCGGGATCGCGGGCCCCACCCTCGCTTGTCCCACTCGGACACGCGGAGTAAGCACGCCCACTCACTCAAGTCCTAATAGGGAATCGGCACTTCCGGCTTGACGCGCGCACACGCACTTCCGGGGTCCGGACGCGTAGAGACGCCGACGCGGGGCGGGGCCAAGCCGCAGTTCCCACGCCGGGCGGCCCTCGCGGCTGGCCACGCCCCGGAAGTGCTCTTCCCCTGGACCCTGTGGGGCGGAAGCTGTGTGTGGCCTGGACCTTGGCTCTACCTCAGGGAGAGACGCTGTAGCTGTTGCTAGACGACCGGCACTCTTCCCCGTCACTTCCTCAGCTCGCCGTCGTCCCGCTCCTCAGGCCGGAACCGGGGGACCCGGAGCCGGAGTGGGCTCTTAGTTGCTCGACGCGGTCTCAGGACCCCGGCCAGCCCGGCGGCGGGAGACAGGGCCACGCCACCTGCAGGGAAGAACCCGAGCCGAGGCGGGAAGATGGCTGCAGACAAGCTTGCAGGTGGGGCGCTGGCCGTGGGGGCGGCGGGCACCGGCGTGGACGCGGCCCTGGGCGCGGAGGGGCTGAGCACATCCACTAGGTCGGTTTGAAGTGGCGCTGTGGCTCGAGTGGTAGAGGGCTAGCCTTGACCAAAAGGAGCTCGGAGCCGGGCGCCGGTGGCTCACGCCTGTAATCCTGGCTACTCACGGGGCTGAGATCTAGGATCGCGGTTCAAAGCCAGCCCGGGCAGGGAGGTCCGTGAAACCCCTTACCTCCAATACACCACCAGAAAACCGGAAGTGGCGCTGTGGCTCAAGTGGTAGAGCGCTCGCCTTGAATTGAAGAGCTGAGGGACAGCGCCCAGGCCCAGTGTTCAAGCCCCAGGGCTGACGGAAAAAAGATAGAAAAGGAAAAAGAAATAAACGTCAGTGGGACTAATGCTTTTATTTTCCTTATTACGTGTTTATACACTTTCCAAGTTTCTACAAGGAATGGTATTAACTTTATAATTAGTTTTTTTTTAATGTTCTGTGCATTAGCTTGTAACTGCTGCCTTCTTACTAGACAGTGTATGCACAAAATTCTACGATGTGTCTTTTATCTAGCCAAAAGTAGTATCCACTGCTTAGAGGTAGAAGACTGCTTACCCATAAGCTTGACTTTGCTTTTCCTATGGCCTAAAGAACATGGCTGGGGTCTGGGAAGGTAGCTCAGTGGTAGAGCGCTTGCCTTGCATGCATGAGGCCCTGGGTTCGATTCCTCAGCACCACATAAGCAAAAAGAAAAAAGCCTGAAGTGGCGCTATGGCTCAAGTAGTAGAGCGCTAGCCTTGAGCTGGAGAGCTGAGGGACAGTACCCAGGCCCAGAGTTCAGGCCCCACGACTGGACCCAAAAAAAAAAAAAAAAAAGGAGAACATGGCTGACCTTGGTAATACTCAGAGCTTTTGCCTCACAAACCTTTAAGCCAAAAAGTCCTGATTCCAGGACTTGTGTTCAATTGCATCATTTTATCTTCTTGAAAGGGGGAAGTTTGGATCTTTACTAATTGCTGACATATGCCAACTCTGGGCTTCCCAAAGTTCTCAACTTTGGTTCAGAACTTTTGTGAACACTAGTTCTATTCACTCTAGAGTATAGGTTTCTAGGCAGTTATCCAAAGTGCACCATTCGTCAGCTGAGGTGGCATAAGCTATTCTATCTACTTGGGAGGTGGAGATACAAGGATAGCAGTTTGAGGCCACACCAGGCAGAAGTACAATGGTTTTGTTCATTATGCATGCCTGTCATCACCAGTGACAGGGGAAAACAGAAATATGATTGCAGTCCAGGCTGTGGTCTGACACTTGAAATTTTATGTCACTTTTGGGTAGGTATTTAAAATAAAACTTTTAAAAAGTCTTTATTTTTTATTTTTTTGGGTCCAGTTGTGAGCCTGAACTCTGGGCCTGGGCACTGTCCCTCAGCTCTTCAGCTCAACGCTAGCGCTCTACCACTTGAGCCACAGTGCCACTTCTGGCTTTTTTTTCTGCTTATGTGGTGCTGAGAAATCAAACCCAGGGCCTCATGCATGCAAGGCAAGCGCTCTACCACCGAGCCACTTTCCCAGCCCTTAAAAAGTCTTTAAAAAAGTAATCTCTTCCTTCCTCAAAGCCATCTCTATTCTCTCTCCTCCAGTTCCCCAGAGGTTAACCATTGAATATTTGCTGTATATCCTTCCAGACTTCATTCCATATTCACTAAGATGCACATATATGGGTTATATATCTTTACAAAACATGGTATTTGGTTTTATGAGACTTAAGTTTTTAAAATGTGCTGGTAGCCAGGCCCTGGTGGCTCACGCCTGTAATCCTAGCTACTCAAGAGGCTGAGATCTGAGGATCACGGTTCAAAGCCAGACCCGGCAAGAAAAGTCCATGAGACTCTTATCTCTGATAAACCACTCAGAAAACTGGATGTGGCACTATGGCTCAAGTGGTAGAGCACTAGCCTTGAGCTGAAGAGCTGAGGGACAGGGCCCATGCCCAGAGTTCAAGCTGCACCACTGACCTCCAAAAGAAAAAAATGTGCTGGTACTGGAGCTTGAATTCAAGGGCTTATGTTCTCACTAGCTTTTTCCATTCATGATTGGTGCTCTGCCACTGGAACTGCATATTAATTGGTGCTTTTTGCTAGCTAATTGGCAATAAGAATCTCATAGATTAGTCTGCTTGGGCTGACTCCAAACCACAATCCTCAGATCTCAGTCTCCTGAGTAGCTAGGATTACAGGCATGAGCCACTGGTGCCCAACTCTTGTTCCTTTTATTTACAAGATTCAGGGTTTTTTTAGTGTCTTGCTGCATAGTGCCATCTGGCCTCCAACTTGTGATCCTCTTGCCTTAGGCTTCCAAGTGCTAAAAATAACAGTATGTTTCAACATGCCTGGGAAGGCATGGATATTTTTTCACATCAGATCATGTAGGCCTTTTTTTTTCTTTATTTTTTTCAATACTGGGGATCCAACCTTGATACTTGCAAATACTAGTCAACTGTCCTCCCATTGAGGACAGGGCTATCTTCGTAGCCCTTTTAAACTTATTTATTCTTTCTCTTTTGTTTGATTTGTTTTTTTTTTTTGTCTCAATATGGGTACCTAGTCTAGTCTTGAATTCTTGTGTTCAAGGGATTCTCCTGCCTTTTCAAGTGGCTGGCTCAGACTCTTGTTTTTTCTTTGCTCTTATTAATATAAAACCTCTTTCACCAAACAGTGAGATTGAATCATGTACCTCTTTCCCAGAGAAATCAGACATTTATTAATTACTGGGAAGAATAAGAAGAAACAGCCAGTGGCTCATGCCTATAATCCTAGTTACTCAGGAGGCTAAGATCTAAGGATTGTGGTTCAAAGCCAGCCCAAGCAGGAAAGTCTGTGACTTTTTTTTCTTTTTTGCCAGTCACAGTGCTTGAATTCTGGACCTGGGTGCTGCCCCTGGGCTCCTTTTTGCTCAAGGCTAGCACTCTACCACTTGAGCCACTACACCACTACTGGCTTTTTCTATGATTTATTGGAGACAATAGTCTCAACAGACTTTACTGCCCAGGCTGGCTTTGAATCATGATCCTCAGATCAGACCACAATCCTCAGATTTTAGCTGCTTGAGTAGGTAGGATTGTAGGCATGAGCCACCAGTGCCCAAAACAACCACCCAAAACTGGAAGTTTCACAGAGGCTCAAAGTGGTAGAGTGCTAGCCTTGAACGAACCGCTCAGGAATAGTACTCACACTCTGAGTTCAAGTCTCATGACTAATAAAAAAATTAAAAAAAAACTAAACATTCCAACTAACAAGACATGTAAATAACTGACCCTTGTTTTACTACATAAGGAAACAGATTTTCAACAGTTCCAGAGTTTCAGGTCATCTATTTATTATCAGAAAGAACATTAGGATTTTAGTTGTCATTTTAATCTCATTGTTTCTGTCTCACAGTGCAACCCGCCTCCGTTTCTGTGTTGAAAACATAGCCTCTCCATCTTGTTGCATGTTGGGGCTTATTCTGCAAATACATGTCAGTTACTTTTCTACATATAGTTGTGTTTTGGTTTTGGGTTTTTTTGGTTGGTCATGGGGCCCGAACTCTGGGCCTGGGCACTATCCCTCCGCTCTTCAGCTGAAGGCGAATGCTCTACCACTTGAACCACAGTGCCACTTCCTGTTTTCTGAGTGGTTTACTTGAGGTTAGAGTCTCACAGACTTTCCTACCTGGGCTGGCTTTGAACTGCGATCTTCAGATCTCAGCCTCCTGAGTAGCTAAGATTAGAGGGGTGAGCCACCAGCGCCCAGCTTACATATACTTTTTTTTTGTTTTTATTTTTGTCAGTCATGGGGCTTCAACTCTGGGCCTGGGTGCTGTCCTTCAGCTCTAAAGCTCAAGGCGAGAGCTCTACCACTTGAGCCACAGTGCCACTTCCACTTTTCTGAGCAGTTTATTGGAGATAAGAGTCTCACAGACTTTCATGCCCAGGCTAGCTTTGAACCTCAGTCCTCAGATCTCAGCCTCTGGAGTAGGTAGGATTACGGGCGTGAGCCACTTGTGCCCTGCTGAGCTTCTTTTGCTCAAGGATAGCCCTTAACCACTTGAGCCACAGCACCACTCGCAGCCTTTTCTGTTAATGTTGTACTGAGGAATTCAACCTATGGCTTCATGCATGCTAGGCAAGTATTCTACTACAACGCCACATTCCCAGCCTCTACATATAGTTTTACTAACAGCTTCTAATTTCAGAAAGGGATTTCCTATCTGTGTTTTAGAGGGCTTTGTGTTCTAGGCTGGAGAACAATTTTGTGCAGAGAAAAGAAAAATCCCTATGTAAATAAGAAATTCAAAAACCACTAGGTTTTTGTTTATTTTGTTTTGTTTTTGTCTTTTTTTTTTTTTTTTAAGTTCTCCAGAATCTGGCATTGTTTCTTGGATATGTGGGACTCTCTGTGTTGCTGAATGAAACAGCATTCTCAGCCTGGACTTTCTGGTCGATAGCCTGGGTCCTTCCTCTAATTGGGCAAGTTTTCAGGGGACTGACTATGCTGATTAGCTGATACTGAGATAGCAGTTAGGGGCTGAAGTGACTTAGAAATAGAGCAGGTATCTAACATGCTTGAAGCAGGAGTTCCATCCACAGCACCACAAAGAAAGAGAGAAATAGGGATAAATCTTTGTAGTACTTTGGCTTTTAAATACCTGTAAACCTTGTGTTTGTAGATCAGGGAATGGAGAAGCATGAAGGGACAGGCCAGTCTTCCGGGATCACTGATCAGGAGAAGGAGCTGTCCACTGGGGCTTTCCAGGCTTTCACGGTAAGTGACTTCTCTTTTACTATAGTAAATTCATAAATTTATAATTTTTTCCCTGTTATAATTCAGAGTTTAGAAAGGTTTCATTTTTTGGGGGGGGGGGGGAGGGTGGTCCTGGGGCTTGAACTCTGGGCCTGAGCACTGTCCCTCAGCTCTTCAGCTCAAGGCGAGCGCTCTACCACTTGAGCCACAGCGCCACTTCCAGTTTTTCTGGTGGTTTATTGGAGATAAGAGTCTCACGATCTCTCCTGCCCGGGCTGGCTTTGAACTGCAATCCTCAGATCTCAGCCTCCTGAGTAGCTAGGATTACAGGCGTGAGCCCCCAGCGCCTGGCTCATAAACATGTTTTTTAACTTTCACACTGTTGATTTTTGAGTCTTTAAATTTAGATTTGTAAATGTGTGGGTCAGTCTTTCCATTTCTCTACTCTGTTCAGTGTCTTTAAGTGTATTGTAAAGGGGAGTCAAAGTTTATCAGAATTTCAACTATTCTGGCACTAAAGAATATGGGAAGGCCGGGTGCTGGTGCCTCACATCTGAAATCTTAGGTACTCTGAAGGCTGAGAACTGAGCATCACAGTTCAAAGCTAGCATGGGCAGGAAACCCTTATCTCCAGTTTACCACCTAAAAACTGGAAGTTGAGCTGTGGCTCAAAGTGGTAGAGCATTAGCCTTGAGCACCCGCACCCAGCACCCAACACCAACAACAACAGAAAGAATATGGGAAGGATAAGAATCCTGGCCTAGTTGGTGGCTCAAGCCTATAATCCCAGCTACTTGGGAAGCAGGGATTGGGGATATCTTAATTCAAGACCAACTCCTGAAAGTTAGAGACTCAGTCTGTCAACCAACAAACTAGGTGTGGTGGTATGTGCCTGCTATCCAACTGTTAGGAGGCATATATAGAAGGGCTAAGATCCTAAACCAGTCCTAGACAGAAAATCAGCCCTATTCAAAAGATAACTAAAGCAAACAAGAGCTGTGGGTAGATCACTTCTTAGCAAGCAGAAGGCCTTGAGTTCAAACCCTTATTTGTTTATTAAGCTATATACACATAAGCAGAAGAATTTAATATGTATTCAAAGTATATTTGGTAGAAATTAAAATTTGGAGTAATAGTTTACCCTTTCTTGTCTAGCCTCTGCTATTTATACCTGCTAGATGCACATATAGAGCAGTCCATCTATTATATCCACATGCATGCATCATAGATATATCCATCAATGTCAGAGTTGAGTCTTAGAAACAAACATCCACAGGGTTTATTTTATTTTGTTGGTTGTGGGACTTGAACTCAGGGTCTGGGTGCTATCCCTGAACTTGTCTGCTCAAGGCTAGCACTTTACTATTTTTGAGTCACATCTTATTTCCAGTTTTCTTATTTTTTATTTTTTTAATTTTTTAATTTTTTATTTTTTTTACTTCCAGTTTTCTGGTGGTTAATTGGAGATAGGGGTCTCAGGAACTTTCCTGCCCAGGCTGACTCCAAACATAGATCCTCAGATTTCAAACTCCTAAAAGAGAAAAATTCTACTCTTTTGAGTAGCTATGATTATAGGCGTGAGCCACCAGGGCTTGGCAACAGTTTTTTTAATTAACCAAAGTATTGCTTTACCTAGTGACTTCACTAGGTATGCTTAGAGACACTCTGTATAAGAATCTTGAGCTGACACCTTGAGCTGAAGAGCTAAGGGACAGCGCCCAGGCCCAGAGTTCAAGCCCCATGACTGACAAAAAAAAAAAAAGAATCTTGAGCTGGGAAGGTGACTCAGTGGTAGAGCGCTTGCCTTGCATGCCTGAGTCCCTGGGTTCTATTCCTCAGCACCACGTAAGCAAAAAGAAAAAAGCTGGAAGTGGTACTGTGGCTCAAGTGGTAGAGCGCTAGCCTTGAGCTGAAGAGCTGAGGGACAGCGCCCAGGCCCAGAGTTCAGGCCCCACAACCGGACTCAAAAAATAAAAGAATTTTTAGGAGCCAGGTGTGCTGGTGGCTCACACTTATAATCCTAGCTACTCAGGAGGCTGAGATCTGATTATCATGGTTCAAAGCTATCTGGGGCATGAAAGTCAGTGAGACTCTTATCTGCAGTAAGCCACCAGAAAACTGGAAGTGGCGCAGTGGCTTAAGCGTTAGAGTGCCAGCCTTAAGCTGAAGAGCTGAGGGATAGTGCCCAGGCCCAGAGTTCAAGCCCCATGACCCACCAAAAAAAGAAAAAAGAAAAAAAAGAATCTTTAAGGTAAAGATGAGGGCTGGGAAGGTGGCTCAGTGGTAGAGCGCTTGCCTTCCATGCCTGAGGCCCTGGGTTCGATTCCTCAGTACCACATAAGCAAAAAGAAAAAAGCTGGAGGTGGTGCTGTGGCTCAAGTGGTAGAGTGCTAGCCTTGAGCTGAAGTGCTGAGGGACAGCACCCAGGCCCAGAGTTCAGGCCCCATGACCAGACCCAAAAAATAAAAAATAATAAGGTAAAGATGAATAAAATATATTTGGAAATGGAAATGATGTATTGTTCTAAAGCTGGTGTGTAATGTTGTGTGTGTATATGTATTTTTTTGTTTTCTTTTTAGTCTGGAAATTATGATGCCTGTCTGCAACACCTTGCCTGTCTACAAGATATAAACAAAGACGATTATAAAATAATTTTGAATACAGCAGTAGCTGAGTTTTTTAAAAGTAATCAGACAACAACAGATAATTTGAGACAAACACTTAACCAGCTGAAGAATCAGGTGATGAATGAATTTATAAAAAATTGTGTTGATTTGTAAACGATGTTAAGCAAAATAATATGATTTGTTGTCTATAATTTCTAATATGTGTGAAACACTTCTTATTAATTTTATTGGCATAAAGTTATTTCAAGAAGCAAGGTATATTACATGTGGTTTATTGCCTATCTGATTTTTAATTAACTAGAACAGAATGAGCTACCAAATCTGAATCAAAACATCAAAAAATTTAATAAGTAACTGTGACTTATTGTACAATTCTATGTGTTACCTGAAATTATGGAATGGATGTGAAATTTAGAGGGTGTGTATAATATGTAAATATCGTTAGTTCTAAAATGCAAAATATTTGGACTTTTTTCTTTTAGTATAGATGTTACAGATGTTATAGATGTTATAGTTCTAGAAAAGTTGATTCTAACTTCCAATATGACAGTGTCTATGTACTTTTGTTGTTGTTGTTATTTACAAACACACTCTTTTTTTCTTTTTTTGCCAGTACTGAGGCTTGAACTCAGGGCCTGGGCACATCCCTGAGCTTCTTTTGCTCAAGGCTAGCACTCTACCACTTCAGCCACAGCACCACTTCCAGCTTTTTCTGTTTATGTGGTACTGAGGAAATCAAACCCAGGGCTTCATGCATGGTAGGCAAGCACTCTACCACTAAGCCACATTCCCAGCTCCTGTTGTTTTTAGTTTTGTCACAGAATCTTGTAGGTAGCCCAGGGTAGACTCTAATTTGAGAGCTCCCTGCCTCAGCTTCAACCTTGAATGCTAGGATTATAAACTGACATGCATTACCATATTTCATATTTCACATATGGGAACAAACCTTGAAAATATACTTTCTAGCCTGGTCTTAGACAACATAATTAAGATTTCTGTTTTGATCTAGGTGCTTTGATCTTAGCTGCTTATGAGGCTGAAACCTGGAAGATCATAGTTTCAAAAGCCAGCCTGGGTTATTGAGATTCCGTGTGTGTGTGTGTGTGTGTGTGTGTGTGTGTGTGTGTGTGTGTGTGTGTGTGTGTGTGTGTGTGTGTGTGTGTGTGTGTGTGTGTGTGTGTGTGTGTGTGTGTGTGTGTGTGTGTGTGTGTGTGTGTGTGTGTGTGTGTGTGTGTGTGTGTCCTGGAAGATCATAGTTTCAAAAGCCAGCCTGGGTTATTGAGATTCCGTGTGTGTGTGTGTTGTTTGTTTGCTTGTTTGTTTGTTTTTGGTCAGTTGTGGGGTTTAAACTTGGGGCCTGGGTGCTGTCCCTGAGCTCTTTTGCTGAAGGCTAACACTCTATACCACTTTGAGCCACAGAACCACTTCTGGTTTTCTGGTGGTTAAGTGGCGACAGTAGTCTCACGGAATTCCCTGCTCAGTCAGGCTTTGAACAATGATCATCAGATCTCAGCCTCCTGAGTATCTGGAATTACAAGCCTGCGCCACCATCACCCAGCTTTCATCTCCAATTAATGAGGAAAAAACTGTGGCTTAAGTGCTTGAAGAACCTGCTAAGCAAGCAGTCCATAGTGGAGCAGGAGGCCCCTAAGTTCATGTCCTGGTGTTAGCAAATGAATCAATAAATAATTGAATAAATAAATTTCTGCTCTAGTTTTCTTATTTATAAAATGGTAATATTTGTTCCGGAGGTCTGAGGTTTTAACATAGTAAGTCTGTCATGTAAGTGATTAACTATTTTTTGTTTTTTGAGACAGTCTTGCTTTGTAGTCCAGGTTTGCCTGCAACCTGAAATCCTCCTGCCTAAGTCTCCAGTAGCACACTGCAGTTTCCAGCTTTATTATTTCAATTTTGTGTTAGGTATCAGTCGTGGGCCCTGCACTCTGGGCCTGGCCGCTGTCCCTCAGCTCTTCAGCTCAAGGCTAGCGCTCTACACTTGAACCACAGTGCCACTTCTGCCTGTTTCTGTTTAATGTGGTGCTGAGGAATCGAACGCAGGGCCTCATGCATGTGAGGCCACCTTCCTAGCTCAATGTGTTTTTTTAATTTTAATTTTTGTTTTTTTGTCAGTCATGGGGCTTGAACTCTGGGTCTGGGCATTGTCCCTCTGAGCCACTGAGCCACCTTCCTAGCTCAATGTGTTTTTTTAATTTTTGTTTTTTTGTCAGTCATGGGGCTTGAACTCTGGGTCTGGGCATTGTCCCTCAGCTCTTCAGCTCAAGACGAGCACTCTACCACTTGAGCCACAACACCACTTCCGGTTTTCTGGTGGTTTACTAGAGATACTGAGTTTTCTTCCCTGGGCTGGCTTTGAACTGCAATCTTCAGATCTCAGCCTCCTGAGTAGCTAGGATTACAGGCATGAGCCAAGTTTTTTTGTTGTTGTTGTTTGGGTCCAATCGTGGGGCCTGAACTCTGGGCCTGGGCGCTGTCCCTCAGCAATTCAGCTCAAGGCTAGCGTTCTACCACTTAAGCCACAGCATCACTTCCGGCTTTTTTTTTTCTTTTTGCTTATGTGGAGCTGAGGAATCGAACCCAGGGCCTCAGGCATGCAAGGCAAGCGCTCTACCACTGAGCCACCTCCCCAGCCCTGAGCCAAGTTTTTTTAAACATACATTCTGCATAACTTTTTTTTTTTTTTTTTAGTACTGGGGTTTTAACTGAGGGTTTCACACTTACATGGCTTGCTGAGCTAGCAGTCTACTACTTGAGCCATGCCTGCTTTTGTGTGTGTGTGTGTGTGTGTGTGTGTGTGTGTGTGTGTGTGTGTGTGTGTGTGTGTGTGTACGTACGTGCTAGGATGGGGCTTGACTCAAGGCCTCATCCTCTCACTTGACCTTTTCGCTCACTGTTGGCTCTACCTCTTGAACCATGCCTTCAGTCTTTTTGCTGGTTAATTGGAGATATACTCTTGAAGACTTTTCTGTTTGGGCTGGCTTTGAATCACTGTCTTCATATCTCAGCCTCTCGAGTAGCTAGGATTACAGATATAAACTACTAGCACCTGCTTTTGCTGGTTATTTTGGAGAAGTCTGGTAGACTTTTCCTCCTTTTCTGGCTCTAACTGCCATCTTCCAAATCTCAGAATCCTGAGTTAGCCAGGGTTACAGACCTGGCTTTCATAATTTAAAAATAATTTATTTTAACAGTACTAGGGTTTGAACTCGTCTTCGTGCTTGCTAGACAGGTACTCCAATCTTTTTTTTTTTGGTCGGTCGTGGGCTTTCACAACCGACCAAAAAAAAAAAAAAAAAGAGTTAAAGCAAAAGTTGCAAAGGTACTCTAATCTTGAGCCACAGCCCTACTCCTTTTTGCTGTTGTTTTGTTTTGTTGTTGTTGTTGTTTTTGAGATAAGGTCTCACTTTTTGCCCTGGGTGGCCTGGACCATGAATCCTCTTGGTGCAACCTGACATAGATGGGAGGCACATCACTGTGCCCAGCTTATTCTGTTTAAATGGGGCCTTGCAATCACTTTTTGCTTAGGCTGACCTGGAACTGCAAGCCTCTTGTCTTGATTTTAGCCTTCCACATAACTGGGATGAGAAGTATTTACTACTGTGTCCAGCTATAGGCTGAGATGGCATCTTAACACCTTTTTGCCTGGGCTGATTTCTATCTATGATCCTCTTGGTCTTTGCTCCTGAGTAGGATTATAGATGTAAGTCACTACACATTTTCATTTTTTGCTTTTTTTTTTTTTTGTCATTCATGGGGCTTGAGCTCAGGGCCTGGGCGCTGTCCCTAAACTCTTCAACTCAGGGTAAGCACTCTACCACTTGAGCCACAGCACCACTTCCTTTCCTGAGTGGTTTATTGGTGATACGAATCACGGCCTTTCTTGCCTGGGCTGGCTTTGAACCATGATCCTCAGATCTCAGCCTCCTGAGTAGCTAGGATTACAGATGTGAGCCACCGGCGCTTGGCTTTATTTTGTTTTTCTTGGTACTTGCAATTTAACTCAGAGCCTTGAACTTGCTGAGCAAATGTTCTACTACTTTGAGGTATACTTGAGTTATAGCATAACTTTTTTTGGAGGGGGACAGTATTGGAGTTTGCATTCATAGCGTTGCTTTTGTAAAGCAGACATGACGCCACTTAAGACACACTTCAAGGCCCATGCATAACTTTGTTTTTAGTCAGTTGTGGGGCTTCAACTCAGGGACTGGGTGATGTCCCTGAGCTTTTCTGCTCAAGGTTACTGCTCTTCCACTTTGAGCCACAACTTCACTTCTAGTTTTCTGGTGGTAATTGGAGATAAAAGTTTCATGGACTTTTCTACCCAGGCTGGCTTCAAACCTTGGTCCTCAGATCTCAGCCTCTTGAATAGCTAGGACTACAGGTGCCTGGCCATGCGTAACATTTTTATGGGAAAAATCATTTTAAGTTTTGCCTACTAACTTCTAGTCTCTTCAAATTCAACTTGTAATCTCTTTAAATTCATGATAAAAAATTTTTTAAAACCTCATCAGGCTAGGAAGTGAGTAGTCCACTCAAAAGCAATGTTGGCAGTTAAAGCAGGAAGGATATCTTCTTAGTGGTAAGGAAAAGAATTACCTTGCCTTGTCCCTTCAAAATACTTAACAGAAGGCTGGGAAGGTGGCTCAGTGGTAGAGTGCCTTGCATGCATTAGGCCCTGGGTTCGATTTCTCAGCACCACATACACAGAAAAGGCCAGAAGTGGTACTGTGGCTTAAGTGGTTGAGCACTAGCCTTGAGCTGAAGAGCTGAGGGACAGCGCTCAGGCCCCGAGTTCAGGCCCCAAGACTGACAAACAAAATATTTAACTGAGCTGGGCGATGGTGGCTCATGCCTGTAATCCTAGCTACTCAGGAGGCTGAGATCTGAGGATCATGGTTCAAAGCCAGCCCGGGCAGGAAAGGCCATGAGACTCTTATCTCCAATAAACCACTAGAAAACTGAAAGTGGCGCTGTGGCTCAAGTGGTAGAGTACTTACCTTGAGCTGAAGAGCTGAGGGACAGCACCCAAGCCCAGAGTTCAAGCTCCACAACCGACAAAAAGAAAAAAAAATACTTAACAGAATCTTATGGTGTGTAAAATAGATGAATGAAATGATTAAAATATAGAGGTACTATGGAAAATTTAAAAGTCTGAATAAAAAAATGTTGAAGTTAGGCTTTGGACCACATAGCTACCTTTGCATCTACTCTGGAGGCTGAGGAGGAAGAATCACTTGAGCTTAGAAATTGAAGAACAGCTGAACAATGTAGAGCTGTCTTGAAAGAAAGGTTTAAGGCATGGGAAAGAGGGAAATATGCTGATGTTGGGGATGTAATTGGGGGGTAGGCTGCTTTTCTTGCATGCAGGGGCCCAGAATTGCAAGAAGGAAATGGTGGCCTATGTTCTGTTTATCTATATGAATTTCTTTGCTGTTTATTCCTTATAGTTGTTACAACACGTTCTCCACTGATTATTTTATAGGTCCACTCAGCTGTTGAAGAAATGGATGGATTAGATGATGTTGAAAACAGCATGTTGTATTATAACCAAGCAGTCATTCTTTATCATCTGCGGCAGTATACAGAGGCTATCTCAGTTGGTGAAAAACTTTATCAGTTCATAGAACCTTTTGGTATGTTATTTGTCAAGTCAAAAGTTTTCTTAGCTGGAGATCTAACATCCCAGCTATGCTGGGACAATGGCCCAAGGGGTAAAGCATCTGCTTAGTGAATACAAGGCTCTGAGTTAAAACTTCAGTACATTTAAAAAAAAAAAAAGCTCCTTCTAACATGCTCTACTGCTTTTACTTGGATAACCTAGTTAGATTCACGTCAGTTTTTTCCAAGTTGATTTTCACAATATGTAAGAATACATACATTTAGACTAAATCACAGTTCCTTTTGACACCCTATTCCACCTAAATTTGATGACAACTACTAGAAATATTGGAAGAATAGTGGGAGAAAAACGAAGGCATGGGTAACAATGTTTGACAAAAAATGTCATTACCTTATGTAACTGTAACCCCTCTGTACAACACCTTTACAACAAAATAAAACAAAAGAAAAGAAAAAATATTGGGAAGAATCAGGTGCTGGTCACCTACACTTATAATCTTACCTAATCAGGAGGCTGAGATCTGAGAATTGTGATTTAAAGGTAGCCCAGGCAGACAAATCTGAGAGAATCCTTTCTTTTTTTTTTTTTTTTTTAATTTTCCTTTCTTTTAGTTCCTTTTTTTTTTTTTTTTTTTTTTAAATTTTATTTTATTTTATTTGAGAACATACTGTACAGAGGGGTTACAATTACATGGGCAGGATAATGCATACATTTCTTACCAAGCATTGCATCCTCCTCCTTTGTTTACCCTTCACCTCCCTTCCCAGCCTCCCCCCTCCCTCCCACCCAATCATACCCCCCCAGAGAATCCTTTCTCTAACCAACGAAAAGCTGGAAGTAGAGGTGTAGCTCAAGTGATAGAATGTCAGCCTTGAGTCAAAAAAGCTAAGTGAGAGTGTGAGTCCCCGAGTTCAAACTCTAGCACGTATGCATGCATGCTTGCACACTCTCTCTCTCGCGCATGCTCTCTCTCTTTCTCTCTCACTCAGCACATATTGATAAGACTTACTACTTTTTCTTTGCTGTCTAAACATTACCTAATGAACTGTGTCCTTTCTCTAATGCATTTAGTAAGGAGCATGTTGGAATCTTAGAAGATAGCATAGTAATTAATTTCTGTTGCCTAACTGAAATGTTTGTATTCAAACATAGAATAAATAGCATAGAACTGATTGCTTCCTGATGTACTTGAGAACAGGGTAGTAAAGATTAGAAAGATTCACACAAGGACGCTTGCTTCACAAGAGCAAGAAGAGCTTGCTGAGGGCAGAGAAAGGATGCTTACAAAATAAGCACTTCAACCCTTCAGTAGCAGTTTTAGTTAATTAGATGAAGAATTGGGTCCAGAGAGAGGTATACGTAATTTCTAAGTAGTCTGGGTAACAGTGTGTTCTAGATCTTTATCTCTGTGGTTTTGGTAGGGGTTCTTGTGAGGTTATCTCTGGTCAGGATAAGCAAGTCATTGTCCAGGTAGGGGGTTCATTTTCCTTCCCTCCTGAAAAACATGTTATCAAGTCCTGTCTTTCCTAGATTCCAAGGTAACTGCTAGAAAGAATGAGTCAGAGTAAAGGAAATAGAAAAGGGAGGCAGAGATGCCACACTTTCACCCTTTCAGTTTGTGAGCTCAAGTTAGGAGTCAATGCTTTTCAGCAAAAGCAGTTTAAGAACCTGGTACACAGAGATACTTTTACCCTCCTTAAGTTTATATCCTGATGGGAGAGAAAGTAACACAGTTTTTATTGTGTGGTTGTTGGATGCTGTGAGTTAAAGCTAAAATTGAGTAAGAAGATGGAGATTGGCCCTGGATGTTAAAGGCCTAGGTGAGTTGATATTTGGAAAGATACCTGAAGGAAGAAGTGAGTTGTGATTCCTCCAGGAAAACATTCCTGCTGAGACTATCGAAAACAGCATGTGTGAATGTTTTATGCAAAGTGAGGGCCAGTGCTGAGTGAGAGAAGGTAGACTGGCTTGTAAAGCTAGGTGGGGAGGGTAGTAACTGATGAAGTTAGCAGTAGCAAGGGGCAGAGCAGGAGCTGGGGAGGACTTCAGGTCTGAAGTGTACTCTAGGACTGTCATTGTAAAGGGATTCTACTCTTTAAATGCTTTTAAAATGTTCTGTTCTGGGTTATAGCAGCTACCTTTTAGACTTTAACTTTTTCATTACAGTTTTTATTTCATCTTCATTTTTTAAAAGGAATGGTCTTACGTCACAACAGGTTACCTGTATTTCCCTCTTAGGAGTCTTAATTTTCTCATAGGTTCTACACCTTGCTTCTTGCACTTCCAAAATCAAGCTGTTTCTTTATTCTATTTCTGTGATTGGAAAGGAAGTCTAGTTCATAGAGCATAAGCCTTTTTAGAGATACAGTAGATAGAACTTCAAGACATCCTTTCTTTCATGTAGGTAAAGTAGTCCTGTATTTTACAGGTCAGGCAGGGGAAGTCCAAAAAGTAATTTGTGAACATCAAACATGTAGTAAGAAGCAGAACAAAAACCAGAATTCTGGTTTCTTCCCACCTAAATTAGTATTCCTCATTACATGGACATCTTGTAGATATTTCACAAAGGAGGGTGAGTCACTAATACCTGGCATGAAAGACCTTGAGACCCTAATAGAATGGCCTTGCTGCCACTTCAGTACACTACTTTCCTTCATGGTTGCACTGGCATGCATCGCTTGATGAAACGTTTAAGCTTTGTCCTATAGAGCTTTGCACTCTGTTTAACAGATAGTTGGAGGTATATTTTTGACTTGGGATTATGACATTTCTTTTCCTTTGTTTTTCTCACCAGAAGAAAAATTTGCCCAAGCAGTGTGTTTTCTGCTTGTAGACTTGTATATATTAACCTACCAAGCTGAGAAAGCTTTGCATCTTCTGGCTGTCTTAGAAAAAATGATTTCTCAGGGAAATAATAACAAAAATGGAAAAAATGAGGTGAGTGTTCCAGATAATCAAACTAAAATTTAAAAGTATGATTTGTCTTTGTAGTTATAAAATAATTGTCTAAGCCAAACTGGTGGCTCACGCCTGTAATCCTAGCTACTCAGAAGGCTGAGATCTGAGGATTGCAGTTCAAAGACATCCTGGGCAGGAAAGTCTGTGAGACTCTTATCTCCAATAAAGCACTAGAAAACCAGAAATAGTGCTATGGCTCAAGTGGCTCAAGTGGTAGAAGAGCTGAGGGCCAGCACCCAAGCCTAGAGTTCAAGCCTTACAACTAACAAAAGTAAAATAAAATGATTGTCTATTAACTGATTTTTGGAGATGTAATTTACAATTCATATAAACTACTTTTTTTTCAAGGGGGGGTGTTTGTGTGTGCTAGTACTGGGGCTGGAACTCAGGGCTTGGGGATGTCCCTTGAGCTATTTGTTCAAGATTAGTGCCACAGCTCCACTTCTGGTTTTTTTGCTGGCTAATTAGAGACAAGAGTCTCATGGAGGCTGAGAAAGTAGCTTAGTGGTAGAATGCTTGCCTAGTATGCATTAAGCCCTGGGTTCAATTCTTCAGTACCACATAAACAGAAAAAGCCAGAAGTGGCACTGTGGCTCAAATGGCAGAGTGCTAGTTGAGCAAAAGAAACTCAGGAACAGTGCCCAGAGCCTGAGTTCAAGCCCCAGGACTAGACAAGAATTTCATGGAATTCAGTGCCTGGCCTGGCTTCAAACTGATCCTTAGATCTCAGCCTTCTTGAGTGGCTAGGATTACAGTCGTGAGACACTAGTAGCTGCAGTTTGTTATTGTCTAAACTCAATAAAAGGCCATTTAGAGTGTACAGGTTAGTTTATTTTTAATATACTTACATAGTTGTAAGCCATTACCACTGTCTGATTCCAGAGTACTTTCATTACCTCAAAAAGAAGCCATGTACTCATCACCATTTCCCCTTGCCACTGACCTGCCTGCCATTGATCTTCCCAGTGCTGCACATTACATACAAATGGAATCAGACAGTATGTGATTATTCCTGACTGGCTTCTTTCACGTAATATGCTGTTTTCAAGCTTCTTCCATATGTAGTATGTGCTTGGTGCTTTTTTTTGTGTACTTTATCACTTTTGTAGCTGAAAATACTAGGCTATTCCTGACAAAATATGCCATATTTTAAAATCCATTTATCAGTTGGTGGACATTTGGGTTATGTTCCATTTTAGGCTTTATAAATAATGCTACAGTGAATATTCATGTACTAATTACCATGTAGATATACATTTTTAGTTCTTTGGAGTATATATTTAGGCTTATAATCATGAGTCATAGGGTAACTCCACATTTAACATTAGGAGAAGCTACCAGATAGTTTTCTAAAGTAGATCTGCTATTCTACTTTCCCACCAGCACTTCATGAAGGTTTTGGGGGGGTTTTTGGTTGTTGGGCTTGATCTCTGGTTCTGGGTACTGTCCCTGAGCTCTTCAGCTCAAGGTGAGTGCTCTACCACTTGAGCCACAGTGCCACTTCCTATTTTCTGGTGGTTAATTGGAGATAAGAGTCTCACAAGCTGTGCATTGGTGGCTCACGCCTGTAATCCTAGCTACTTAGGAGGCTGAGATCTGAGGATCACAGTTCAAAGCCAGCTTGGGCAGGAAAATGTGTGAGTCTCTTAACTCCAATAAACCACCAGAAAACCAGAAGAGGTGCTGTGGCTCAAGTGGTAGAGTGTTAGCCTTGAGCTGAAGAGCTGAGGGACAGCATCCAGGCCCAGAGATCTAGCCCATGACCGACAAAAAATAAGTCTCAGGCTGGGAAGGTAGCTCAGTGGTAGAGCACTTGCCTTGCATGCATGAGGCCCTGGGTTCGATTCCTCAGCACCACATAAGCAGAAAAAGCCGGAAGTGGCTCTAAGGCTCAAGTGGTAGAATGCTAGCCTTGAGCTGAAGAGCTGAGGGACAGCGCCCAGGCCCTGAGTTCAGGTCCCATGACCAGCAAAAAAAAAAAAAAATCTCATAGGCCCTTTACTACCCTGTTGGCTTTGAACTATGATCCTCAGATCACAGCCTCCTGAGTAGCTAGGATTACAGGCGTGAGCCACTGGTGCCCACCTCTCATAAAGGTATTTGTTGTTACAGAACAGGGTCTTGAATTCATATCCTGGTTTGCCTTTTTTTTTTTTTTTTTGGTGGCACTACTGGGTTCTATTCCTTAGCTTTTTTGCTCAATGCTAGTTCTCTAACACTTGACTCACAGCTCCATCTCCAGCTTTTTAATATATAATTGGAGATGAGTCTCTTGGACTTTTCCTGCTTGAGCTGGCTTTGACCCTTAATTGTCAGATATCAGCATCCTGAGTAGCTAGGATTACAAGTTTGAGCCACCTGTGCCCTGCTGCTTTGTCTGTCTTTTTAAAAAGTTTTAGCCATCTTAGTGGGTGTAATGTGGTACATTGTAATAATTTTGCTTTGGATTTGTATTTAAGGGTATATATTGAACATCTTTTCATTTGTAAGAATGTCTTCATGCCAGGTGCCAGTGGCTCATGCCTGTCATCCTAGTTATTCAGGAGGCTGATACTTGAAGATCATGGTTCAAAGCGAGCCCAGGCAAAAAAGCCTGTGAGACTCTTATCTCCAGTTAACTACCAAAAAAGATGTCTTCATTATTACATGTTTGGCATGAAATATTTGAAACACTTTTTAAGTATTTTGAGAAAAAGATGTTTCTTTATGAAGATTAAATTACTTTCTCAGGGTCGTACACAATTCCCAGAACAGTTAAAAATAAAACCCTTGCATGTGGCTCCTACTCCCTTAGTGCTTTTAGCTAAGCTGTAATATGGTTATTTTTTACTGTTGTACAATATAAACTAATCTGATTTTTCTTTTCAAATGAAGTTCTGAATCAGTTAATTTTGATAATTACTCTGTCAGGAAACAAAAGTCAATGAAGCAGAGAAAGTTTTAAGAAGACAAAGATATGACCTATTGTGAAATGTAGGAAGATACAGACTTTTTTAAACCAAGTCCATCTTTATGATCAGCTGTGAACTTCTCAGAACTAGTTTCCATACTTATGAAGCCTTAATCCCTGAGTAGGTCCTGGGGTTCTGCATTTTGACAATACTCTAGGGTCTGTTAGCTTGCTTAGAAATCAGTCATGGTCAGTTTTGACTGATTTTTTTTTTCATCATTATACAGGGTGGTAATAATACCAACAAAGATGGATCTAATCATAAAGCTGAAAGTGGAGCTCTAATAGAAGCTGCAAAATCAAAGATACATCAGGTATTGTGCATGTCTACAGGTGGTTATGTATACTTTAGGTGCCGCATGTGTCAAAGGCTGGCTGTATCACCTGTGTCCTTGGACTTAGGAATAGTGAGACAACAAGAAATTTTTTAAAGCATTATATAATTCAAAGCAGTGTGTGTTGATTTTGAAGGATTGTAATTTAGAAATACATTTATTCCTGTTTTGCTTATGATACTAGTACAATGTAATTTTTTAGGTTACTGATAGTAAATAGCCTGAGAATGTGTTGGATGATAAAGATAATTTTAAACACTTTAGTAATTGCTGTATATAACTATGTTCTAAACAGATTAATTCCCTTAACTAGAAAGTCAAACTTTAGCATTTTTTTCCTTTTCAGTACAAAGTAAGAGCTTATATCCAAATGAAGTCCCTGAAAGCATGCAAAAGGGAAATCAAGTCAGTGATGAATACAGCTGGAAATGTAAGTTCTTTCTGGATTTTTCTATTGTTTAAAACTTTTGGCTTCTTTAGAGTTATGAGTATTTGTCAGTTTTAAATAATTTTTTTCAGTTGAGTGTTATAGACATGCTTAACATGCTTAAAGACCTGGATTCAACTGGAAATAATTTCTCTCGATCTCTTATTACTAACAGACATAAACCTTGATAAGAAATTGTAATCAGGAGCTGGGAAGGTGCCTCAGTGGCAGAGTGCTTGCCTCACATGCATGAGGCTCTGGGTTCGATTCCTCAGCACCACATAAGCAGAAAAAGCCAAAAGTGGCGCTGTGGCTCAAGTGGCAGAGCACTAGCCTTGAGCTGAAGAGCTGAGGGACAGCGCCCAGGCCCAGAGTTCAGGCCCCATGACCGGCAAAACAAAACAAAACAGAAGTGGCACAGTGGGGCTGGGAAGGTGGCTCAGTGGCAGAATGCTTGCCTTGCATGCATGAGGCCCTGGGTTCAGTTGCTCGGCACCACATAAGCAGAAAAGGCCAGAAGTGGTGCTATGGCTCAAGTGGTAGAGTGCTCGCTTTGAGCTGAAGAGCTGAAGGACAGCGCCCAGGCCAAGTTCAGGCCCCATGACCAACCAAAAAAAATAAAAAAATAAAAAAAAAAAATGGGCTGGGAAGGTGGCTCAGTGGTAGAGCGCTTGCCTTGCATGCATGAGGCCCTGGGTTCGATTCCTTAGCACCACATAAGCAAAAAAAAAAAAGAAAAAAGCCGGAAGTGGCGCTGTGGCTCATAGTGGTAGAGCGCTAGCCTTGAGCTGAAGAGCTGAGGGACAGCGCCCAGGCCCAGAGTTCAGGCCCCACAACCGGACAAAAAAAAAAAAAAAATGGGCTGGGAAGGTGGCTCAGTGGTAGAGCGCTTGCCTTGCATGCATGAGGCCCTGGGTTCGATTCCTCAGCACCACATAAGCAAAAAGAAAAAAAGCCAGAAGTGGCGCTGTGACTCAAGTGGTAGAGCACTAGCCTTGAGCTGAAGAGCTGAGGGACAGCGCCCAGGCCCAGAGTTCAGGCCCCACGACCGGACCCAAAAAAAAAAGAAGTGGCCCAGTGGCTTAAAGTGGTAGAACAATAGCTTTGGGTGAAAGAGCTCAAGGACAGGACCCAGGCCCTGAGTTCAAGCCCCACGACTGACAGATAAAAAAGAATAAAGGTAGATGTGCCTCAACCTATTTCAACCTAGATAGTCGTTGAAAACCCAGCTTCCATTATGGATGAAGGACAGTCAATCTGTTTTAAATTTTCTATTATTGAATCATTCTTTAAAATTAAAAAGAAAAGAAAACCCACCTTCCTTAGTGGCCAGCACTCTGGTGTGGTTGGAAGGCAGAGGCAGAGCAAAAGCAAGGCTTACACAGAAAGTCTGTTTCCAAGCTGAAGTGAATAAACAATAGAATAGGAAGTACAGGTATGCTCTTGGGAAGGTCTAGATCCTCTGCATGCATCTGCATTCTAGCTAAGTTCTATTGGTTGTTGTTTATTTTTTTTTTTTAATTTTTTTTTTTTGTGGTCATGGGCCTTGAACTCTGGGCCTGGGAACTGTCCCTGAGCTTTTGAGCTCAAGGCAAGTGTTCTGCCACTTGAGCCACAGTGCTGCTTCCAGTTTTGTGGTGGTAAATTGAAGATAAGAGTCTCAAGGACTTTCCTGCCTGGGGCATCCTCAGATCTCAGCCTCCTGAGTAGCTAGGATTACAGGCGTGAGCCACCAGCACCCAGCTAAACAAAAATTTTTGTTGGAAAATTTTTCCATTCATACATGGACTCTTTCTCCTATTTGGAAAATATTTTATTATTTCTGTTTGGGTTCTAACAAAAGGTGCTTTTCTGTCTAATATATACAGATAATCGTTGATCTTTTCTGATAATCATTAAGATGGTTGCTGTCTAATTTCCAATTAAGTCAGTCCTAGAGGCCCATGTGTGTAGTTCAAGCAACTCAGAAAGCTAAAGCTGGAGGATCATAGCACAGAAAGACTTTTTTTCTTTTAAAACAAATTTTTTAAAGGCCAGGTACTATTACAGTAAAAATGACAGATCTGAATAATAAAGAAACAATCTTGCATGCAGAAAAAAAAAGCAAAGCAAGAGCTATATTATATTAAAAAATCAGAATCACTGCAGATCTTTCTACACAGACACTGAATGCAAGCAAAGCCTGGGAAAGTACCATCCAAGCCCTGAGAACTAATAACTGCCAACCCAATCTGGTATACCCAGTGAACCTAGCATTCACATTCAGTGGAGAGACTAATTTTTTTTTTTTTTTTTTTTTTTTCCCGGTCATGGGGCCTGAACTCTGGGTCTGGGTGCTGTCCCTCAGCTCTTCAGCTCAAGGCTAGCGCTCTACCACTGGAGCCACAGCGCCACTTCCGGCTTTTTCTGTTTATGTGGTGCTGAGGAATCGAACCCAGGGCCTCATGCTTGCAAGGCATGCACTCTACCTCTGAGCTACCTTCCCAGCCCCTAAACTAAAATTTTTAATAGTAAAGTAAAACTAAATTCATAAACAATAAGTGAACACTTCAGAGAATATTAAGAGGGGGAAATACAACCTGAAGAAAACAATCAAGATCAGGGATCCACATCAGACAGATATCACTAAAAGTATAGCTTAGTTACCACAGGAGGAAAGGAAAGAAGAAAAACTTAGGAAAGCAGGAAAATGACAAGAAACACAATGCATCTCTCTATAATAACCATAAATATTAATGGGCTCAATTCACAAATCAAAAGAAAAAGAATTGCAGATTGGATCAGAAAACAAGATCCATCCATTTGTTGTTTTCAAGAGACCCATCTTACAGCCAAAGATAAAAACAAATTCGGAGGGGCTGGGAAGGTGGCTCAGTGGTAGAGCGCTTGCCTTGCATGCATGAGGCCCTGGGTTCGATTCCTCAGCACCACATAAGCAAAAAGAAAAAAAGCCAGAAGTGGCGCTGTGGCTCAAGTGGTAGGGTGCTAGCCTTGAGCTGAAGAGCTGAGGGACAGCGCCCAGGCCCAGAGTTCAGGCCCCATGACCGGACCAAAAAAAAAAAACAAATTCGGAGTGAAGGGATGGAGAAAGATCTACCATGCAAATGCTCCCAGCAAGAAGGTAGGAGTTGCCATCTGATATCTGACAAAATAAACTTTTCATTAAAATTAATACAAAAAGACAAAGACATTAATACAGGGAACGATCCAAGAAGAAGGTATTACCATTATCAACTTATATTCCCCAAACATTGGTGAACCCAAATATGTTAAGCAAATACTCTCAGACTTACAGAATAAAATAGATCCAAATACAATAATATTAGGAGACTTAATACTCCACTCTCGGGCTGGGAAGGTGGCTCAGTGGTAGAGCGCTTGCCTTGCATGCATGAGGCCCTGGGTTCAATTCCTCAGCACCACATAAGCAGAAAAAAAAAAAAAGCTGTAAGTGGCGCTGTGGTTCAAGTGGTAGAGTGCTAGCCTTGAGCTGAAGAGCTGAGGGACAGCGCCCAGGCCCAAAGTACAGGCCCCACAACCAGCAAAAAAAAAAAAAATACTCCACTCTCACCAGAGGACAGATCTACCAACCAGAGGATTGGCAACGAAGCCTCTGAATTAAATGATGCCATATCTCAGGCGGAATTAATTGACATCTACCGAGTTTTCCACCCTACAACCCAGTATACATTCTTCTCAGCAGCCCATGGATCTTTCTCCAAAATAGACAATATCATAGTTCATACAAGGAATTTAAGCAAATACAAGATGATTGACATAATCCCCTGTATTCTATCCGACCACAGTGGAATCAAGCTAGTTCTTGCTAACAAAGCATACCATAGAAATTACTCAAATACATGGAAATTGAACAGCACACTTTGAGCAACACCTGGGTAACAGAAAAATTAAGAAATTTAAAAGTTCCTACAATTCAATGAAAATGAATACCACTCACAAAGAAACCTGTGGGACATGGCAAGAGCAGTCCTGAGGGGCAAATTTATTGCTCTCAGTGCACACAGCAAAAAAATAGAAACAGTCAGACACCGTTGGCTCATGCCTGTAATCCTAGCTGCTCAGGAGGCTGAGATCTGAGGATCGCGGCTCAAAGCCAGCCCGGGCAGGAAAGTCTGTGAGACTTATTCCAATAAACTACTAGAAAACCAGAAGTGGTGCTATGGTTCAAGTGGTAGAGTGCTTGCCTTGAGCTGAAGAGCAGGGACATTGCCCAACCCCAGAGTTCAAGCCCCCCACAACGGCAAAAATAGAAGCAGACCAAGTAAATAATCTTATGTTGCAACTAAAACTGCTAGAAAAGCATGAAAAAATTGAACCTAAAGTTCCTAGATGGAGCGAGATAAAATTAATAAAACAAAAGGCTGGGTTTTTTTGAAAGAAATCAGTAAAATTAACGGACCTCTGGCAAGATTAACTTAAAAAAGAGAGAGAGGAGACCCAAATCAATATGATCAGGGACACCACAGGAAAAATCACAACAAACATCCAAGACATCCAAACAGTTATAAAGAACTATTTCCAGACTCTATACTCACTAAGGAAGGAAAACCTAACAGAAAGAGATGAATTTCTAGAGAAATCCAAATTGCCCAAACTTAGCCAAGAAGAAATAAATCAATTAAATAAGCCAATATCATACAATGAGATAGAGGAAGCAATCAGAAGTCTTCCAACAAGGAAAAGCCCAAGAACAGATGGATTCAGTATGGAATTCTAAAAGACCTTTAAAGAGGAACTAATACCCATACTCCTCAAACTCTTCTGAGAAATGGAGAGAGAGCTATCCCAAATTACTCCTCAAACTCTTCTGAGAAATGGAGAGAGAGCTATCCCAAACCCATTCTATGAAGCCAGTATCACACTCATCCTCAAACCAGGCAAAGACTCAACAAAAAAAGAGAACTACAGACCAATCTCCTTGATGAACACAGATGCAAAGCTCCTCAATAAAATTTTAGCCAACAGAATCCAGAAACATATCAAAAAAATCATAAATTATGATCAAGTAGGTTTCATCCCAGAGATTCAGGGATGGTTTAACATATGTAAATCAATAAATGTAATCCACCATATCAACAGATCCAAGGTCAAGAACCACATGATTATCTCCATTGATGTGGAAAAGGCTTTTGATAAAATACAACATTCATGTTAAAAGCTCTGGAGAAAACCGAATAGAAGGAACAGTCCTTAAAACAATAAAAGCCATATACAGCAGACCAATAGCCAATATTATACTTAATGCAGAAAAACTACAACCAATTCTCCTAAAAAAAGGAACAAGACAGGGATGCTCACTGTCACCACTCCTCTTCAATATAGTTCTGGAATCCTTAGCCAGAACTATAAAGCAAGAAAAAGACATTAGGGGCTGGGAAGGTGGCTCAGTGGTAGAGCGCTTGCCTTGCATGCCTGAGGCCCTGGGTTCGATTCCTCAGCACCACATAAGCAAAAAGAAAAAAGCCGGAAGTGGCGCTGTGGCTCAAGTGGTAGAGCGCTAGCCTTGAGCTGAAGAGCTGAGGGACAGCACCCAGGCCCAGAGTTCAGGCCCCACGACTGGACTAAAAAAAAAAAAGAAAGAAAAAGACATTAAAGGGATCCACATAGGAAAGGAAGAAGTTAAACTATCCCTTTTTGCAGATAACATGATATTATACCTCAGTGATCCCAAAAACTCCACCCCAAACTCTTAGAACTTATAAACCACTTCAGCAAAGTAGCAGGATACAATTCTTTTTGCAAATTATTATGATTAAGTGATAACATAATTTTAACAAATTTTACAGTATTGTAAGATAGTGAGGCTTAGTTAAAGTCACAAACACATTCTAACTCATGGGACAAATTGTCTTTCGTGGTCTATAAAGTTTATATTAGTTGATTCTCTAATATATTTTTGGTAGACTTTAATGTTTCTGTTTACAAAGTACTCTCTTGACACATATTAATTTTTAGATTGTAAGAGCAGTGAAAAATTTAGAAACTTTGATTGGAGATCAAACTCATTGTCACATGGCTTGCTTGGTACATGCTTTCCCCCCACCCTCCTTTGGCCCCTTTTGCCACCCTCTACCCCCTTCCCGGAGTTTGAACTCGGCCTCACTTCTGTCCCTGAGCCTCTCTATGCTTGGGGCTAGCACGCTACCACTTGAGCCACAGCACTACTTACAGCTTTTTCTGAGTAGTTTATTGGAGATAGTAGTCTCATGGACTTTCCAGCCTGGGCTATCTTCAAACTGATTCTCAGATCTCAGCCTCCTGAGTAACTGGTGTTGCAGGAGTGAGCCACTGGCACCAGGCTGCTTGGTATATGCTTTATCCATAGTCCTAGTCCCCCATCCTAGAAACATGTCTAGCCATAACTTGACTAACTCATGTTATGCATACCTATGCAACAGTAAAATTACAGTTTGGGTACATTAGGTACCTAAAAGCAAATTTTAATTAACGTTTATATTTTCTTTGCAGTCTGCACCCTCCCTATTTCTTAAAAGTAACTTTGAATACTTAAGGGGCAATTACCGAAAAGCTGTGAAACTATTAAATAGTTCAAACATTGCTGAACATCCAGGATTTATGAAAACAGGTAAAAGACATGTTATCCCTCACATTGTTCTCCCTCCTATTGCTTGTTTTATTCTCCTTGATCTCTTTTGTTGTTGTTGTTGGCTATGGGGCTTGAACTCACGGCCTGGATACTGTCTCTAAGCTAAACTCAGTTATAGTACTCTACTGCTTTGAACCACGGCACTACTTCTTATTTTCTGGTAGTTAATTGGAGTCTTATGGAATTTTCTGTCTGGGCTAGCTTTGAACCATGATTTTCAGATCTCAGCCTCTTGAGTATCTAGGAAACAGACATGAACCACTGGTGTCCAGCTCCCCCTGATCTTTTTTTTTTTTTTTTTCTCCCTGGTCCTGGGACTGTTAATTCTGGGCTTGGGTACTATCCCTAAGCTCTTTTTTTTTGGTCCTGGGGCTTGAACTCCGGACTTAGGCTGTCCCTTAGCTCTTCAGTTCAAGGCTAGCAATCTACCACTTGAGCCATAGCGCCACTTCCAGTTTTCTGAGTTGTTTATTAGAGATAAGAGTCTCATGGAACCTGGGCAGGAAAGTCTGTGAGACTCTTAACTCCAATAAACCACTAGAAAACCAGTAGTGGTGATGTGGCTCAAGTGGTAAAGCGCTTGCCTTGAGCTAAAGAACTGAGGGATAGCGCCTAAGCCCAGAGTTCAAGTCCCAGAACAGATCAAAACAAAACATAAAAAAAGAGTCTCATGGACTTTTTTGCCTGGGCTGGCTTTGAACCTGGCTTTGAACCATGATCTTCAGATCTCAGCCTCCTGCATAGCTAGGATTACAGGAGTGAGCCACCAACCCCAGCTTGCTTGCTGTGCTTGCTTGCTTGCTTTCCTTCCTTCCTTCCTTCCTTCCTTCCTTCCTTCCTTCCTTCCTTCCTTCCTTCCTTCCTTCCTTCCTTCCTCTCTCTCTCTCTCTCTCTCTCTCTTTCTCTCTCTCTCTCTCTCTTGCTTGCTCTCTATTTCTTTCTTTATTGTTGTTGGTCATGGGGCTTGAACTCTGGGCCTGGGCGCTGTCCCTCAGCTCTTCAGCTCAAAGCTAATGCTCTACCACTTGAGCAAAAGCTCCACTTCTGATTTTCTGTGATTTGGACATAAGGGTTTCACCCACTTTCCTACCTGGGCTGGCTTTGAACTAAGATCCTCAGATCTGAGCCTCCTGAATAGCTAGGATTACAACTGTGAGTCACCGGCACCTGGCTTCCAGTTATTTTTATTTGTCAGTTGTGGGGCTTGAGCTCAAGTGGTTAGAGTGCTCACCTTGAGCTGAAGAACTCAGAGACAGCACCCAGGCCTAGAGTTCAAGCCCCATAACTGACAATAAAAAAAAAAAAAAAGGAACTCCATATGCCCAACAGACATGAAAAGATGCTTAGTCACAATGCCGTTATCAAAAGAAACTCAGAGACAACATCCAGGCCCTGAGTTTTAGACCAAGGACTAGCAATAAATAAATAAAACTGTGGAGCTGGATACCAGTGGCTCACTCCTATAATCCTAGCTACTCATGAGGCAGAAATCTGAGGTTCATGGTTTAAAACCATGCCAGACTGGAAACTTAAGATTTTTTGTTGGCTGTGGGGCTTGAACTCTGGGCCAGGGTGCTGTCCTTCAGCTCTTCAGCTCAAGGCACATGCTCTTCCACACAATGGCACAGCTCCACTTCAGGTTTTCCAATGGTTAATTGGAGATAAGAGTCTCACGGACTTTCCTTACCCTGGCTGGCTTTGAACTGCAATCCTCAGATCTCAGCCTCCTAAGCAGCTAGGGTTACAGGCATGAGCCACCAGTGCCTAGCAAAACTAAGATTTTTATTACCAATGAACTACCAGAAAGCTGAAAGTGGAGCTGTGGCTCCACAACAGACAAAAAAAAAAAAAAATCTGAATTACTAATGCTTCATGAATTGTTCTGTATGGATTAAGTGTAATTACAAACAATTTATATTACATGGAACCTAATTCTTTTTTCTTTTTTTTTTTTTCTTGTAAGTCATGGGGCCTGAACACTGGGCCTGGACACTGTCCCTCAGCTCTCTAGCTCAAGGCTAGCGCTTTACCACTTGAGCCACAGCGCCACTTCTAGCCTTTTCTGCTTATATGGTGCTGAGGAATCAAACCCAGGACCTTATGCATGCAAGGCAAGCACTCTACCACTGAGCCACCTTCCCAGCCCCCCTAATTTTTTTGAGGGATTGTTTAAAACAAAATTTGGCAGAGCCAGGCACCGGTGGCTTATGCCTGTAATCCTAGCTACTCAGGAGGCTGAGATCTAAGGATCGCAGTTCAAAGCCAGCCTGGGCAGCAAAGTCCATGAGACTCATCTCCAGTAAACCACTAGATAACCAGAAGTGGCGCTGTGGCTCAAGCGCTAGAGTACTCACCTTGAGCTTTAGAACTGAGGGACAGTGCCCAGGTCCAGAGTTCAAGCCCCACAACTGACAAAAAAAAAAAAAAAAAGGCGATAAACTAATTTATTTGTGTTTTTCTCAGGTGAATGCTTGAGATGCATGTTTTGGAATAATCTTGGTTGTATTCATTTTGCCATGAGCAAGCATAATTTAGGAATATTCTATTTTAAGAAGGCTCTGCAGGAGAATGACAATGTCTGTGCACAGCTCAGTGCAGGTAGCACTGATCCAGGTAAGCACTACACAGGGGACAGTTTGCGTTTACTAATTGAAAAAATCATAAGTAGAGAACAAGCACTCTGCCAAATATATGCCATAATGTGGCTCTACGAAGAAAGATCTGCCCAACAAATTTGGCTGTATTGAGTTTTAGTAGACACTGCTATTTTGTTTCTTTTTTTTTTTTTTTTTTTGTTGGTCGTGGGGCTTGAACTCTGGGCCTGGGCGCTGTCCCTCAGCTCTTCAGCTCAAGGCGAGCGCTCTACCACTTGAGCTACAGCGCCACTTCCGGTTTTCTGGTGGTTTATTGGAGATAGGAGTCTCACGGTCTCTCCTGCCCGGGCTGGCTTTGAACCGCGATCCTCAGATCTCAGCCTCCTGAGTAGCTAGGATTACAGGCGTGAGCCACCAGCGCCCGGCGACACTGCTATTTTGAACAGCAGGGTGTTAGGAGTAACTTTGCAAAACATTTAAGTTAGGTGGGTGTCAGTGGCTCATACTTGGAATCTTAACTACTTGGGAGGCTTCAATCTGAGTATAAACAGTTCAAAGCCAGCCAGGGCAGGAAAGTCCAGGGCAGGAAAGTCCATGACGTCTAATTAGACACTTCAGAAAAGCTATAAGTGGAAGTGTGGTTCAAGTGGTAGAGCACCAGCCTGGAGAGAAACAGGTAAGATAGAGGTCCTGGGTTCAATCCCTCTCCTCCCCCCGAAAAAAAATGTATATCTAATTTTTCATGGAATTGGTAATCCCACATTATAATGTCACAAACTACTTTTTTGTCTGAACCAGGTTAGCTCTGTTACAAACTATCCACTGAGTTTTACAAGTAGTACCATTGGCAATATTTGACAGTCTTTATACAAATTCCTGCAATTCATCCTTTGATGTTTATATTACATGCATTCTTTTTTTTTTTTGTCATGGATACTACATGCATTCTTGATCTGAAATGCATAAAATCAAGCAGCTTTTTTTTTTACTGTGAGTGTGTGTGTGATGCATGCAAGTCCTGAAGCTTGAACTCGGCATAGGTTTTTGCTTAAAGATAGGAGATCTACCACTTGAGTCGCAGCTCTACTTCCAGCTTTTTTGAGGTGGTTTCCTGAGTGGTTTTGAACCTAGATCCTCAGTTACAGGTATAATTCACTAGTGCCTAGCTAGTTTTATACTTCCTAATACAAAATTTGGTTAACTGATGAGAATGTTTTGGGGTTCGTTTGTTTTTTGTTTTTAGTCAGTCGTGGGGCTTGAACTCTGGACCTGGGTGCTGTCCCTCAGCTCTTTAGCTTAGGCTAGTGCTCTACCGCTTGAGCCACAGTGGTTTTCTGGTTTTCTAGTGGTTTATTGGAGATAAGAGTCTCCCAGGCTTTCCTGCCCAGTCTGGCTTTGAACTATGATCCTCAGATCTCAGCCTCCTGAGTACTAGGATTACAGGCTTGAGCCACCGGTGCCCAGCAATGAGAATGTATTCCAGACTATAGGGATCTTACTTTGAATCATTGAGTAAGTGGTAGCACGTGTTTAAAAAAAAAAAAAACACAGTTAACCAAACTGAAAATAAAAATAAGAATTAGCTGGGTGCCAGTTGCTCATGCCTATAGTTCTAGCTTCTCAGGCTCAGATCCTAAGGATTGCAGTTGGAAGCCAGCCCAGGCAGAAAGGTCCCCATGAGACTCTTTATCTCCAATTAACCACTCAAAAACCAGAAGTTGTGCTATGGGTCAAAGTGGTAGAACACTAGCAAAAGAACTCGGACAGTGCCCAAACCCTGAGTTCAAGCCCAACAACTGACAAAATAAGTAAGGCTTAGAAAGGTGGAAATGTCAAAGGAGTGATGAGTCTTATTATCTCTGATATTTACCCTCCTGAGAATATCTATGGGGGTATTGATTATTATTTCAAGTCATTATTGGTAGTAAATATAGTAGTGTTTCAATTAAAAAAAAAAAAAGAACTTCGGGGAAGGTAGAGAGGGAAGGGATGGTAGGGGGAAAACAATGGAGGAGGTAACAATGCTCAATAGGAAGTGTACTCATTACCTTGCTCATGTAACTGTAACCCTCTGTATAGTATCTTTACAATAAAAAATTTTAAAAAATATATAGTAGTGTTTACCTTGTAAAATAAATGTGCTCTATATAACTCTTACTTTAATGATTTGTTTTCAAATTTTCATCACTAGGCAAAAAATTCTCAGGAAGACCCATGTGTACGTTACTAACCAACAAGAGGTACGAGTTGCTATATAACTGTGGAATTCAGCTTCTTCACATTGGAAGGCCTCTCGCTGCCTTTGAGTGTTTGATTGAAGCTGTTCAGGTTTATCATGCAAATCCCCGACTTTGGCTCAGGCTGGCTGAATGCTGTATTGCTGCCAATAAGGGGGTGAGTGCTGCTTGGGATTGATTAGAGCCTCCATTTCTCCTTCCTAATGTTTATTACATGGGTAGAAGAAAATTGTTGGGAACATGTCAGACATCATTTCTCATTGAGTTTATAAAGATAGTCTTCTGTTCCTTATAAGTTGAAGGGGAAATTAGGTTTTTTTTTGTTGTTGTTTTTTTTTTTTTTTTGGGTCCGGTCATGGGGCCTGAACTCTGGGCCTGGGCACTGTCCCTCAGCTCTTCAGCTCAAGGCTAGCGCTCTACCATTTGAGTCACAGCGCCACTTCCGGCTTTTTTCTTTTTGCTTATGTGGTGCTGAGGAATCGAACCCAGGGCCTCAGGCATGCAAGGCAAGCGCTGTACCACTAAGCCAACTTCCCAGCCCGGGAAATTAGTTTTAAAAAGTCATTTGCAGCCAATTGCTGGTGGCTGTTCATGTTTGCAATCTTAGCTGTTCAGGAGGCTGAAATCTGAGGATTGTGACTCAAAAATGGAGATGTAGTTTTATTGCTAGTCTTGAGATAAATAAATAAATAAATAAATGCCTCAGGGACAGTGCTTAAGTCCTGAGTTCAAGTCTCAGGACCAGCACATACACATGCCAAAAGAAGCCATTTGCTAGAAATCTGGGTAACTGGGTCATACAAGGGTTAAAGCCAGAGAGAAGGCCCTGTTTATTGGAATGGTGATGGCTATGGATCTGATAAGCCATCTGCTGAGGGCCCACACTGAGATCGAAACACCTGTGTTCAACTGCATTTTCTTCAGTGCTTGGGCCTCTCGCTTCTGGGTCAATGATGACAATATACTTCATAGATACCAGGCTGTTTCTCTTTGAAACTGTTCACAGTGGCTGTGGGCTGGCTTATATTAGTGTTTTGTCTCTAAACAACAATTGGTAGAACCCTTCTGAACCTTAAATTAAGAAGAGTTGGTGGGAGGAAAAGACAAATATGTAATTATCAGATGTCTGTGTGAACCCATTTCTATCCCCCCTTTCTTCCTGTGCTCCCTGGATATGTGAAGGTTGGGTTGGTATAACAACCTGAAGTCTTACCTCACACACCTACCACAGGTTATGTAGGATGTTGAGGTTCTTCTGCTAAACAGCACTTTCTGAGAAGCAGCTAAATGAATCCAGTGGTTTAAGGAAGCATGTGTGCTTGGTACTTACATGATTTGATTGACTATACCAGGAAGGAAGAGGCCAATGTTGCTTTCCTCCTTTTTGGAGGGTTAGAGGGGTTGCTACTTTACTTTTTCTTAACTTTTTGCACTTAAGGCCGGGCACCAATGGCTCATGCCTGTAACCCTAGCTACTCAGGAAGCTGAGATCTGAAGATTGTGTTTCAAAGCTGGCCCAGGCATGTGAGTCCGTGAGATTTTTTGTTTGTTGGTCGTGAGGCCTGAACCCTGGGCCTGGGAACTGTCCCTCAGCTCTTCAGCTCAAAGCTAGCGCTCTACCACTAGAGCCATAGCGCCACTTCTGGCTTTTTCTGCTTATGGGTGCTGAGGAATTGAACCCAGGGCCTCATGCATGCACTCTACCACTGAGCCACCTTCCCAGCCCCCATGAGACTCTTATCTCCAGTAAACCACCAGAAAACCGGAAGTGGTGCTATGGCTCAAGTGATAGAGCCCTTTCCTTGAGTTGAAGAGCTCAGGGACAGCACCCAGGCCCAGAGTTCAAGCCCCATGACTGACCAAAAAAAAAAAAAAAAAGACTAGCACTCTACCATTTCAGCCACACCTTCACTTTCAGCCTTCACGTTGGTTAACTGGTACCTGGCAAATGCTTTGTTTCTTTTCTTTTCTTTTTTTTTTTTTTTTCTTTTTTTTACTGCCTGGGCTGACTGAACCATGATCCTCAGATCTCAGCCTCTGAGTAGCCAGGAGGATTACAGGTATGAGCCACCAGAGTTCAGCTTTTATTAGATAGTTTTTTTAATTAAGTGATAAATTTAGGCAGAATTTGTACTGGTATATACCAGTAATTCTGGCACACAGGAGGAGGAGGCAAGAGGATTGAGAATTCAAACCCAGACTAGATATCAAAAACTGCCTTAGTCACCCAGTAAAAGAATCTCCAGAAATTGTTTATTCCCTTTACTGAATTTACCTGTTGAGGGTCTTGTGTAGTTACTATAAATCAGAATTACTTTAGATGCTTTTCTTTAAACTTTTTTTTTTTTTGGTTTTCTGGTGATTAATTGGAGATAAGAGTCTTATAGACTTTTCTGCTAGGTCTGGCTTCGAACTGCGATCTTCAGATCTCAGCCTCCTGAGTAGCTAGGATTAAAGACATGAGCCATCAGTGCCCAGCTAGATGATTTTCTTTAGATGCTTGTGCAATGTAAAATTTAGATCCGACAGTTCATATTGATTGACTCCAGGTTTTCCTCTGTATGAGAATTTGAGTGTCCAGTGGGATGACTAAGTGGAAATTCATCTGAATGTAATTTGGATAGGCACCTATTATACTAGCTACTCAGGAGGCTAAAATCTGAAGATCACAGTTCAAAGCCAACCCAAGCAGGAAAATCCATGGACTTCTGTCTCTGTTTAACCACTAGAAAACCAGAAGTGGTGCTGTGGTGCAAAGTGATAGAGTGCTAGCCTTGAACTAGCTCAAGGGACAGTGCCCAAGCCCTGAGTTCAAGTGCCATAACTGACACCCCCCCCCCCCAAAAAAAAAAGAAGAAAGGTAGTTTATAAGCGAAATTGGTGCTGCCAAGCTCACAATGAAATAACACATCTGAGAAAAATATGTAAAGTTTTCCATAGATAGTATACCTATAGATATGTATGTATAATACATATGTAGGTATGCATAGTATACATATAGGTATAGATATATATGTATATATTTAAATTTAGGATATATATGTACATATGTGTATCTATGTATATATTTTTATTTTTGTTTTTAGTTTAAGTGTTTACTGATTTTTTGTTGTTGTTGTTGGTCATGGGGCTTGAACTCTGAGCCTGGGCTCTGTTCCTCAGCTCTTCAGCTCAAAGCTAGCACTCTACCACTTGAGCCACAGTATCACTTCTAGTTTTCTGGTGGTTTATTGGAGATAAGAGTCTCATGGACTTTCCTGCCTGGGCTGGCTTTGAACTGTAATCCTCAGGTCTCAGCCTCCTGAGTAGCTAGGATTATAGACATGAGCCACCGGCACCTGGCTTTACTCATCTTATGATTTAGAGATTTTAGTTTTCTGCAAATCTAGCATTGTGGCCATGTTTTATATTGAGCTTGTTTATATGTTGCTGACAATGTGTTGCTTCTTTAAGAAGGAAAAGATCTAGCATCAGAAGTGAATGACTTAATAGCTCATAGCAAGTTTGAGGTCAGTCTGAGTTTTTAGCACGATCCTCTCTAAAATGACAACAACAGTAATTTTTAAAATACTGGATTATTTTTCTTACCTCATCTTAAATTTAAATTCCTTTACATTTATTTTTAACTATTCTATTTTATAGAGTTCTGAACAAGAAACTAAAGGTCTTCCAAGCAAAAAGGGAATTGTACAATCTATTGTTGGTCAAGGCTATCACCGTAAAATTGTTCTGGCGTCACAGTCCATACAGAATACTGTATATAAGTAAGTATTTGCCAAGAGCAAGTATATGTTTAATACTGCTTGACACAATGTACTTTAAGTATAGACATATACTTAGAGTTTATCATTTCACAGGAGGGACCACTCAGTAACTAGGTTTTACTGCTGCTTCAGAAATAGATCTCCAGGAAGTGGCGCTGTGGCTCAAGCGGTTGAGCCCTCGCCTTGAGCTGAAGAGCACAGGGACAGTGCCAAGGCCCAGAGTTCAAGCCCCATGACTGACCAAAAAAAAAAAAAGAAGAAGAAGAAGAAATAATTCTTCACACATAGGTTAATAAATGTTAATCTAATCATGTGATTTTGACTTACTATATTTGTGGGTGCTAAAATTTTCATGTACTAAGAAATTGTAGTTTATGGGCTGGGAAGGTGGCTCAGTGGTAGAGTGCTTGCCTTGCATGCGTGAGGACCTGGGTTCAATTCTCCAGCACCACATAGCAGGGAAAAAAAAAAGCCGGAAGTGGCACTGTGGCTCAAGTGGTAGAGTGCTAGCCTTGAGCTGAAGGGACAGCGCCCAGGCCCAGAGTACAGGTCCCACGACCAGACCAAAAAAAAAAAAAAAGAAATTGTAGTTTATTTGGTTCTATTATTTAGAATGTCCAGAAGAGGGCATCTTGGTGTCTCCTTTTCATATCTATTAATCTTTGCATCCATGGAATGGGGAATTTGTTCCTGGACAGATGGCTCCATCTCTGTATCTATGTGTTCTCCATCCATGGATTCAACCAATGAAGTCTGAAAACCATGTGTTTTCATGGAAAAAATTGTGTTTGCTCTGAACATGTCTTGTTATCTGTAAACAGTACTATGTAACAATTCTTCACATAGCATTTACATTGTATTAGGGATTTTAAAACTCTAGAGATGATTAAAGTATGTAGGACTGTTTGTTTTATCCCAACACTACTATACCATTTTATACAAAGGACTTGAAAAATCCATAGATTGTTTTCTTTTCTTTTTTTTTTTTGGCCTGTCACAAAAATATTTTAAAATTCAGTTTTAGTACTAGGGAAAATTTGTTAATACATAAAACAACCAAAGTAATATAGAAACTGTCCCATGTACAGATTGTTGATTGAATTTTAAGTAATATCTAATGGAAGCAGGGCACTGGTGGTTCATCTGTAATCCTAGCTACTCAGGAGGCTGAGATCTGAGAATCATGGTTCAAAGCCAGCACGGGCAGGAAAGTCGGTGAGACTCTTATCTCTGATAACCACCAGAAAATCTGAAATGTCGCTGTGGTTCAAGTGGTAGAGCACTAGTCTTGAGCTGAAGAGCTCAGGGACAGCGCCCAGGCCCAGAGTTCAAGCCTCATAGCCGACAAGGGGAGGGAAAAAAATATGGATAGATAGATAAGCTACATAGTGAGACTAAGCTACATAGACTGTGTCAAAAATCAGAACAAACAGACAACAGCAATTTTTTTTGGGGGGGGAGATCCAGTTGTGGGGCCTGAACTCTGGGCCTGGGCGCTGTCCCTCAGCTCTTCAGCTCAAGGCTAGCGCTCTACCACTTGAGCCACAGCGCCACTTCCGGCTTTTTTTCTTTTTGCTTATGTGGTGCTGAGGAATCGAACCCAGGGCCTCATGCATGCAAGGCAAGCGCTCTAACGCTGAGCCATCTTCCCAGCCCCTACAGCAAATTTTTTTTTTTTTTTAGGGGGGGGTCCGGTCGTGGGGCCTGAACTCTGGGCCTAAGCGCTGTCCCTCAGCTCTTCAGCTCAAGGCTAGCACCCTACCACTTGAGCCACCGCGCCACTTCCAGCTTATTTTTTCTTTTTGCTTATGTGGTGCTGAGGAATTGAGCCCAGGGCCTCATGCCTGCAAGGCAAGCACTCTACCACTGAGCCACCTTCCCAGCCCATCCCAACAGCAAATTTTTAAAAAGGAAATAAACCAGATGCAGGTGGCTCACACCCATAATCCTAACTACTGAGGAGGCTAATATCTGTAGATCCTGCCAGCCTAGGTAGGAATATCCATGATACTCTTACCTTCAATAAACTACTAAGACAAAGCCAGGCACTGGTGGCTCACACATGTAATCCTAGCTCAGGAGGCTGAGATCTGAGGATTGCAGTTCAAAGCCAGCCCAAACTTTCTTTACTAAAGAAAAGACCTGAAGTGGAGTGGTAGAGCAGTAACCTTGAGCACAAAAGCTCAAGGACAGTGCCCAAGCCCAGACATCAAGCCCCTTAAACCAGCACACAAAACTCTAAAACCTAAAAACACTGAAAGTGGAGCTGTGATTCAAGTGATAGAGCACTACTAGCCTTGAGCAAAAGAAGCTCAGACACAGCACCCAAGTCCTGAGTTCAAGCACCAATACTGGCACTAAAAAAAAAAAAAAGAAAGAAATGAGAAAAAAATTTGTTTCCTTATGTAAAATAATAATAATCCCAATTTGGAGCCTGGTATAATGATACACACTTGTAATCTCAGTACTCTGGAGGCAGTAACAAGAGGATGAAGAGTTCCAGACCAATGCCAGGTGTAAGTGATTTACACCTATAATCCTAGCTGCTCAGAGGGCTGAGATCCGAGGATGGTGGTTGACAGCAAGCCCAAGCGGACAACTCCAAGAAATTCTTTTTTTTTTTTTTTTTTTCTTTTTTTTTGGTCGTGGGGCTTGAACTCTGGGCCTGGGCACTGTCCCTGAGCTCTTCAGCTCAAAGGGAGTGGTCTACCACTTGAGCCACAGCGCCACTTCAGGTTTTCTGGTGTTTTATTGGAGATAAGAGTCTCACAGACAGGCTGGGAAGTTGGCTCAGTGGTAGAGCGCTTGCCTTGCATGCCTGAAGCCCTGGGTTCGATTCCTCAGCACCACATAAGCAAAAAAAAAAAAAGAAAAAAGCCGGAAGTGGCGCTGTGGCTCAAGTGGTAGAGCGCTAGCCTTGAGCTGAAGAGCTGAGGGACAGTGCCCAGGCCCAGAGTTCAGGACCCAGGACCGGACCCAAAAAAAATATATTAAAAAAAAAGAAGAGTCTCACAGACTTTCTTGCCTGTTCTGGTTTGAACCATGATCCTCAGATCTCAGCCTCCTGAGTAGCTAGGATTACAGGCATGAGCCACCGACGCCCAACTTCCAAGAGATTCTTATTTCCAGTTAACCAACAAAAAGCTAGGAGTGGAGGTATGGCTCACGTGATAGAATACCACCTTTGAGCAGAAAAGGTCCAGCTAAAAACCAAGGCTCTGAGTTCAAACCCTTTTACTGGCACAGAGAGAGAGAACTGAATGGTTTTTCCAGGTCTGGTAGTGTAATTCAGTGATAAAATATGTGCTTAATATTTATGGGGTCCTGGTTCAGTCCTCATCAACAAAGACAAAAAAAGATTTTCACAAAGTGGTAGAGTTAGCCTTGATCACAAAGAGGCTTAGGGACAACATCCAGGCCCTGCCAAAAACAAAACAAAAAAGATTTTCACAGTTTTAGTGGTAGTACATGGCATAGGGCATTTGAGTCTTACTTAACCTATAATGTAATTTACTTTGATGAGGAAGATGGGGAAATGAAAGCAGTCAAGCTTGCAGGTACTGTTACCTTGTCTCCCCAGCAAAATCCTTTCTGCAGATGGAATCCAGAGCCTTATTCATGCAAAGCATATGTGTTCTACCACTAAGCCACACCCCTAGCCCTGTAAGGCAGCTTTTAAAGCCAAGAGTATCCAAGGCTCAAATGTGAAAATCTTTTCTTTGTTTCATTCCCATTCTTACTTACTTCATTACAGTTTCCCTGTTGCTAATTCCTCTATTGCACTAATAATGGACACTGCAGATAAACTTGAAGGTTTGTCACCATATGTGGTGTCCTTCCCAGAGTTATGCCAATGTATAGACTTGGAATCCATTACTTACACTTTTTACATCTTCTATGTAATGCGAGGATGGAGGTTCTTCAGCATTCTAGTCTAGCATTTAGACTTTTTGTTAAAATTTCACCTAGCAAAGGATAAAGTTTTTGTTAACAGTTAATTGATGTTATTTCTGAAAATAGAAAAGTCTTGTTTATTTTTATGTCATCTGGTTAGCTAATGTAGTTTTGTTCTTCTAAGTGATGGGCAGTCTTCAGCTATTCCTGTTGCCAGTATGGAGTTTGCAGCCATTTGTCTAAGAAATGCCTTGTTGCTCTTACCTGAAGAACAGCAAGACCCAAAGCAGGAAAATGGGTCTAAAAATAGCAATCAACTAGGAGGGACCACAGAAAGCAGCGAAAGCAGTGAAACATGCAGGTAGTGTTTTCCCTGTCTTCCCAGCAAAATCCTTTCAGGACTTTACTAAGTCCATTTCTTTTTCAGATAGATGCCTAAAATCTTCAACTAGAATCTCCAAAATTCTCTGTTGTAAATCATTACAAAGGGCGTTATATTTAATTTCTTTCTTTTTTAGGATGTTATATTTCTAATTTAATTTTGGAATGAGAAATGTATGAAAACACAAGTAATTTCCTTTATAAAGTAGAGATAATTCTTATTTAGAAATTTGTTAAACTGTTGCATGCTGGAGAAAACAATATACATTTACTTTTAACATGTTAGTGATACCTAATTATTAAGTTTTTGCATTGTTTTGATTATTTTTATATCTTTATCAAATGATTGCATGGAGATGAGGATAAGCAAAGTAAATTTATATTTAATTTGTTTCCTTTTCATAATTACTAGTTTGTCTCTATTTCAGTAGCAAAAGCCATGATGGTGACAAATTCATTCCAGCCCCACCTTCTTCTCCATTAAGAAAACAAGAGTTAGAAAACTTAAAGTAAGTATCTAAAGCACAGTAAATATTACATCTACTGAAATGAGCATATTGGCTTTTACTTTCTCTACTGTTAATACTATGAATTGAATACCCAGTGTTAAAAAAAGATGCCTGCATTGTGGTTGGCATTCATAGCCTCCTTAGTGTACCATCTTCTGGCCTTCATTGTTCCCTGCCATTGTATGCCTGGTGCCACTTTCTTTCGAGGTTTATTTTCTCCTTGCTTTTTGTTTTGTTTTGTTTTATTTTATTTTTGGTCTATTGGTCTATGCTCTTACCTCTGCTCCATTAAACTCTTGGTCAGCTTTTTCACTCACAGCTGGCACTGTACCACTTGAGTCACATCTCCAGTCTTTCTTTGTTTTTGCAGTTAGACTATTAGGATTTTTCGAAGTTAGGAGCTGGGCACTGGTGGCTTACACCGGTAATCCTAGCTACTAAGGAAGCTGAGATCTGAGGATCATGGCTCAAAGCCAGCCCAGGTAGGACTCTTATCTCCATTAAACCACCAGAAAACCAGAAGTGGCACTGTAGCTCAAGTGGTTGAGCTGAAGAGCTTAGGTACAGCACCCAGGTCCAGAGTTCAAGCCCCACGACTGACAAAAAGAAAAGATGTTGATTTGCCTTTTTTTTTTTTTTTAACAAGAACAGCATCTCATTCTGTAAAATGGAGTGACTATTCTAATAAGCTAAACAGAGAACATTGGTTTGTACACAGAAAGGGACTAAAGAAACTAAAATAGAAAACAAATACAGGTTGGTCATTTAGAGTTGCTTGTCTTTTTTGGGGGGGAGGGGGAGAGGGGGTCCAGTCGTGGGGCCTGAACTCTGGGCCTGGGCACTGTCCCTCAGCTCTTCAGCTCAAGGCTAGCGCTCTACCACTTGAGCCACAGTGCCACTTCCGGCTTTTTTCTTTTTGTTTATGTGTTGCTGAAGAATCGAACCCAGGGCCTCAGGCATGCAAAGCAAGCGCTCTTCCCAGCCCCAAGAGTTGCTTGTCTTAAAAGGATTAAAGCAGAGGTATTGAGGTTGTAGCTCAATGATAGAGCACTTGCTTAGCAAGTTCCCATCTTCAGTAACACATACTTTTAATTTCTAATTAAACCATATACTAGTGGCTCCTGTCTTTAATCCTAGCTACTCAGGAGACTAAGATTTGAGGGTGAAGGTTTGGAGCCAACCAAGGCAGAAAAATCCATGAGTTCTTTTTTTTTTTTTGGTCAGTCGTGGGGTTTGAACTCTAGGCCTGCGCACTGTCCCTCAGCTCTTCAGATCAAGGCTAGTGCTTTACCACTTCAGCCACAGCACTCACTTCCGGATTTTTCTGTTTGTATGGTGCTGAGGAATCAAACCAAGACCTCATGCATGCGAGGCAAGCACTCTACTACTGAGCCACCTTCCCAGTCCCAAAGTCTTATTTTCAATTAACCACCAAAATTCTGGAAATGATGCTGTGACTTATGTGATAGAACCCTAGCTGTGAGCAGAAATCTAATTGAGGGGCTGGGGTGGTGGCTCAGTGGTAGAGTGCTTGCCTTGCATGCATGAGGCCCTGGGTTCGATTCCTCAGCACCACATAAGCAAAAAGAAAAAAGCCTGAAGTGACACTGTGGCTCAAGTGGTAGAGCGCTAGCCTTGAGCTGAAGAGCTGAGGGACAGCGCCCAGGCCCAGAGTTCAGGCCCCACGACCAGACCCCCCCCCAAAAAAAAAAAAAAGAACAGTGCTCGGGTCATGCCCCCAGTTGAAGCCTCATAACTGACTCCCTCCACCCCCCCACCAAAAAAAAGTTTTTTCATTTCTTTGTACCAGACTTTTATCATGTTTGTGCTTATGTTTGTGCTTAAGTATGTTTATCACTAGGATTCTTTTTAGGCTTGGGTAAATGGAATTGGGTTAATTGGAGCTAATGTCCAAAGGCCCAGGGTAGGGATTGGGAGCTGAAGGGAAAAGAGCAGCTAGGAACAGGCAGGACTGCCAGGGTCCCTCCCACAACATTTAGAGGCCGAGTAATGTGCCCCCTCTCCCCAGACAACTATGACCTAGTTCCTAGAACCTGTCAACACAGGACCTCATGCAGCAAAAGGGCCTCGCAGATGGGATGGAGTTGAGCATTTTGCAGTGGGCTAAAGGAGAGGAAGACAAGCAGCTACATTCAGAGTGATACAGGAAAGGGCTATTAGGCCAGATAACTCCATAGGCCCCAAACCTATCATCCCAGTTATTCGTGAGGAGTATAGAGAAGAATCACAGCCAGCTCAGGCAAAAAGCTAGCACGGGCCTATCTCAAGAACAAGCTGGGGGGCTGGGAAGGTGGCTCAGTGGTAGAGCGCTTGCCTTGCATGCTAGAGGCCCTGGGTTCGATTCCTCAGCACCACATAAGCAAAAAGAAAAAAGCCGGAAGTGGCGCTGTGGCTCAAGTGGTAGAGCACTAGCCTTGAGCTGAAGAGCTGAGGGACAGCGCCCAGGCCCAGAGTTCAGGCTCCACGACCCGACCAAAAAAAAAAAAAAGAAAAGAAAAGAACAAGCTGGGTCTAGGTGCTGGTGGCTCATGCCTGTAATCCTAGCTACTCAGAAGGCTGAGATCCGAGGATCATGGTTCAAAGCCAGCCCGGGCAGGAAAGTCTGTGAAACTCTTACCTCCAATAAACCGCCAGAAAACCAGAAGTAGCTCTGTCTCTGAATGGTAGAACGCTCATCTTTAGCTGAAGAGCTGAAGGACAGCGCCCAGGCCCAGAGTTCAAGCCCCATAACTGACAAAAAAAAAGAATAAGCTGGGTTTGATGGTTCATGCTACACAAGAAGCATAAGTAGGAAGATTATTGTCCAAAGCCTTTATGAGTAACAGCAAAAAACCCTATCTAAAAAATACTGAGGTAGGTGCCAGTGGTGGCTCACTCTTGTATTCCCTAGCTTCTTAGGAGGCTGAGATCTGAGATCTGAAGCCAGCCAAAGGAGTTGGGGGAAGCAGGAAAGTCCATAAGACTCTCATCTCCAGTTAACCACCATAAAGCCAGAAGTGGAACTGTGACTCAAGTGATAGAGTGCTAGCCTTGAGCACAAAAGCTCAAGGATAGTACCCAGGCCCTAAGTTTAAGCCCCAGGACTTATGCACACCAAATATATACACACATGCATACATATGTATTTACCTGCATACATACCTAAAGCAGAAAGGGTGTGGTTCAAGTTGTGGAAGACCTACCTAACAAGAACAAGATTCTGGCCAGACGGCGGTGGCTCACGCCTGTTATCCTAGCTACTCAGGAGGCTGAGATCTGAGGATCTCAGTTCAAAGCCAACCCCGGCAGGAAAGTCTGTATGACTTTTTTTTTTGGGGGGGGGGGGGGGTCCGGTCATGGGGCCTGAACTCTGGGCCTGGGCGATGTCTCTCAGCTCTTCAGCTCAAGGCTAGCGCTCTACCACTTGAGCCACAGCGCCACTTCCGGCTTTTTTCTTTTTGCTTATGTATGTGGTGCTGAGGAATCGAACCCAGGGCCTGGAGCATGCAAGGCAAGCGGTCTACCACTGAGCCACCTTCCCAGCCCAAGTCTGTATGACTCTTATCTCTAGTAAACCACTAGAAAAACTGAAGTGGCACTGAGGCTCAAGCAGTAGAGCACTCACCTTGAGCTGAAAAGCGCAGGGATAGCGCCCAAGCCCAGAGTTCAAGCCCCATGACTGACCAAAAAAAAAAAAAAACAAGATTCTGAGTTCAAAATCCCAGAAGATTGTTTTTACACAGAAGTGTTACTCTTAAGCAAGATGTTGAGCAAGAGGGATAGTTTTATTTTTATTTATTTTTTTTTTTGTCGGCCGTGGGGCTTGAACTCTGGGCCTGGGCGCTGTCCCTCAGCTCTTCAGCTCAAGGCGAGCGCTCTACCACTTGAGCTACAGCGCCACTTCCAGTTTTCTGGTGGTTTATTGGAGATAGGAGTCTCACGGTCTCTCCTGCCCGGGCTGGCTTTGAACGGTGATCCTCAGATCTCAGCCTCCTGAGTAGCTAGGATTACAGGCGTGAGCCACCAGCGCCCGGCTAAGAGGGATAGTTTTAGAGCCAAACATAGATATGAATTGTGAAATAAATTGAACATGTCCTTGTACTTGCTAGACAGGCTCCCCTACCGCTCGAACCACACTGCTCTAGCCTAATCAATTTTCAAATACTGTTTGGTACGGAATTTCATTATAAATTTACTGTACTTTGGCAAATTATAACTGACTGGATTTCAACTTTCACTTAGGTTTATTATTTCAGGTACTTGGATTACATTTAATTCAGAGGATATACATTTTCAAAGGTTATAATGCCCAGTCAAAAAGCTGATTGTAGGGGCTGGGAAGGTGGCTCAGTGGTAGAGCGCTTGCCTTGCATGCATGAGGCCCTGGGTTCGATTCCTCAGCACCACATAAGCAAAATGAAAAAAGCCGGAAGTGACGCTGTGGCTCAAGTGGTAGAACGCTAGCCTTGAGCTGAAGAACTGAGGGACAGCGCCCAAGCCCAGAGTTCAGGCCCCATAACCAGACCCAAAAAAAAAAAAAAAAAAAGTCTCATGGATTTCCCTGCTCAAGCTGGCTTTGAACTGCAATCCTGGGATCTTAGCCTCCTAAGTAGCTAGGATTATAGTCATGAGCCACCAGCACCCAGCTTCTCCCTCTTCTTTTTCAGGGGTTGGTGGTCTGCAGCCTATAGCTAGCCCCTGCAGCATGTGGAAGGTGGAGGCAGGTTTGTCAGACTCTCCCCAGGTGGCAGAAGCTACCTCTGCCCTAGTGGTGGTGTTCTTCTAGTCTGATGAACTGTCACATCCACTGAGTGTCTGTGGAAGCAAATGGGGCAGTGACTTAAGGAAATAGTGTGCATTGAGAGGTCACTTTAAAGCCGGCATGATCTGAATTAGTTCAGCAATTCTCTAGGGCTTGCTAGATAAAGCCATGTAGTTTGCGGGGATTGCACCTTTCTCATATGTGAGGGTGGAATTAGGAGTGACTGAGGTACCAGGGGAAGACACACTAAAGGTTGGTTTGGGCTTTGGGCAGTGAAACTTGTTTAATCCTTACCATATGCCTCTGTGAGAGCACTGGCCCCAGTGTGGTAGTTTTTGCCACTGGGCCTAGTAGTGAACCAGAGCCTGGGCCTGCTGAGCAAGCGATCTACTTGTGAGCTCCACCCCATCCCCCAGTGTTTTATTCACATGTTGAAGTATTACTTTTAATAGAATGATGAGTGTACTCATAGAATCTTTTATCCTATCATGATTTCCTGAGGTCGCTTAAAAGATGAGGAAAACCGATTTGTATCTTTTTTTTTTTTTTTTTTTTTGGTCATTATAGGTTGCTTGCTAGAAAACAGTCCTACTGCAAATCTTACATGACTGATTTCTGGACCCAAAGTGGACTTGACAGTGCGCTAGAACAATAATAGCCCACCCACTGTCAGGAGATGCCAGGGCAGGCTCTTCCCAGCAAGCCTGCTGCAAATGGGCCTAGTCCTGGACTGTAAGCCCCAAGGTGTACAGGCACAGTCCCCTGGCTGTGGGCGCCAGGTGGATATCAGCTTCCTCAGCAAAGCTGTCAGACAGGAAGAAAACTGAGGCTCCAAGTGGGCCTAGAGATCCTAAGTTCAAAGGTTGAAGCCTATCAGGGGTGTGCCACCACGCTCAGCATAACCTGTATTCCCTAACAAATTCCAGTTCATCTGTTACTACAGAGTGGTGAAAAATTGCTCTAAGGGTAGGAAACTGTGTATTTATGCTTCACCTTTTACATTAATCTTTAGCAAAGGAAAGTGGACCTTAAGCTTTGTGACTGTCATTTATACTGGCCCTGAAATGTGGTCTTCAGCTTCTAGAGAAGAGACATTTAAAAGACTTTTTTTCTTTGTTTATATAACGGTAAATATATAACATATAGCAGGCATCTTGTGCTGGTTTGTTTTAGAGCTGGGGTCTTGCTGTGTACGTCTGAGTCTAGCCTAGAACTCTCCATTCTCCTGCTTCTACCTTCTGAATGCCCTGTGTACTTCCTGAGTGAATGGATTCTCATTGCCATGTTAAAATAAAAACAGAAGAAATTAAGTTACATACCTGATCTTGTCATACAGACCTAACCACTGCTTCTTTCTGGAGATGAGAGATATATTAACTAGAAAAGCCTGTCTCCCTGGACCTCTGTGTCCTCTGCTGGAGAATAGACCTTTCCAGGGGGCTGTTACATGTGGGGGTGGGGGGGCAGGGCACTGTGATGAAGCTAATTCTTGGACACTCAGGGTTATTGCTAATAGGTTCACCAGGAAACCTCTGGGAGATTGCCTGCCCTCATACTCCTCTCTTCTGTCAGTTGTTCAGATTTAAAATTATATACTCAGTAACCAAAGCAAAAAAAAAAAAAGCTTCATAGAGTTTCCATTAAATTTTCATTTTCTCTTTCTTGCTTTCTTTTGCGCTTTTTTTTCTTTTGTTGATAATGGGGCTTGAACTCTGGGCTTGGGCCCTGTCCCTGAGCTCTTCAGTTCAAGGCAAGCATTCTACCACTTGAGCCACAGCACAACTTGTGGTGGTCTCACAGACTTTCCTGTCTCAGCTGGCTTTGAACTGTGATCCTCATCTCAGCCTCCTCAGTAACTAGGGTTATAGGTGTGAGCCACTGGTAGCCAGTGACTTTTGCTAGACCAGTATCCTCCTAATCTCTACCTCTTGAATACCTGGGATTATAGATAGGAGCCACAGTATGCAGCCAATTCTTAACATCAGTGTTACTGTTTCCCCTTTCTTTTGTAGTGTCCAGTCTGTCATAGTTATAATTAGAACCTTTCCTGCTATTTGGCAGATGGAACCATTATCAAGTTTTACTGAAGGCTTTGGCCCTTCTTGCTCTTATATTCTAGGTGCTCTATACTTGCTTGCAGTGCTTATGTGGCCCTGGCTTTAGGGGATAACCTTATGGCTTTGAACCATGCAGATAAACTTCTTCAGCAACCCAAGCTGTCCGGATCTCTTAAGTAAGTGTCACTTGCCCTGTGTGTCCCTGGCCCACCTTCTCTCAGGGCTGTTACACTACTACTCCTTACTCCTCCAGTGCAATATGTATTTGTAAGTTTACAGACTTTCATGTCATGGCTTAGCCATAGACATATTTTTCTCTGTTGGATCTTAATGATTGGAGAATGGCATTTGCTGGGCTGAGTGCTAAGAAACACAAACTTTGGACTCTAGTTTTGCTGCTAGGTCTTTGGGCCCTGAAATAAGCAGAATTCTAAAGAAAAGACCCATCAAAAAAGAAAGTTGATCCACATGATAATCTGCTTTGAAGACTACAGTTTAAATAGACAATCGAGAACTTTGTGCTTTCTCATGCTGCTGTACCATGTCCACAGGACAATGTTGTTTAGGCTGTCCAGATACTTCTGCAGTAATAATGACATTGTTGTCTTTTCTGTTGTAAGGAAAAAACAGTATGCTTTGAATTTGTTGTATGATGCTGATCTGAAAATTTCATCCAAAGCCATATAAAATTTAGAGCAGTTTTTGTTTTGATTTATTATGTGTACACTTAGAATTGTGAGGTCATACTCTGAGGAATCTGCCAATACTTTCTTATCTTAAAAAAGTTGAAGCCAAGGGCCCCAGTGGCTCACACCTATAATCCTAGCTACTCAGAAGGCTGAGATCTGAGGATCAAGTTTCAAAGCCAACCTGGACAGGAAAATCTGTGAGACTGTTACCTCCAGTTAACCACCAGAAAACCAGAAGTGGTGCTATGGCTCAAAGTGGTAGAGAGCAGAGCACTAGCCTTGAGCGGAAAGAGCTCAGGGACAGCACCCAGGCTCTGAGTTCAAGCCCCATGACCAACAATGACAAAAAAAAATTTGAGCTAGCAGGCACCAGTGACCCATGCCTATAGCTACTCAAGAGACTGAGATCTGAGGTTCAGTTTGAAGCCAGCCTAAGCAGGAAAGTCCTTGAGACTCTTTATCTTCAATTAATCACCAAAAAGCTGGCAGTAGAGCTATGATTCTAGTGGTAGAGTGACAGCCTTGTGTGAGAAAAGTTCAGGCCCTGAGTTCAAGCCCAGCACACAAAAAAAAGATGGGGGGGGGGGAGGCTGGGAAGGTAGCTCAGCGGTAGAGTGCATGCCTTGCAAGCATGAGGCCCTGGGTTTGATTCCTCAGCACCACATAAACAGAAAAAACCAGAAGTGACGCTGTGGCTCAAGTGGTAGAGCGCTAGCCTTGAGCTGAAGAGCTGAGGGACAGCGCCCAGACCCAGAGTTCAGGCCCCATGACCGGCAAAAAAAAAAAAAAAAAAGATGGGGAGGGACTAGATGGAGAATGTAGCTCAGTGTTGGACTACATGTCTAACATGTACAAAGCCCTGGATTCTAGTCCAATATTATAAACTAATTTATGGGATCATCTAAAATTAATGTTGATTGATAAGTGTTTTTTCAAACTAGTGTTCCCCAAACATAACTCAGGTTTTCTTGAAAATATAAAAGAAGAAGCCAGGTGCTGGTGGCTTAAGCCTAAGATTCTGGCTACTCAGGAGGCTGAGATTCAAGGAACTTGGGTGGAAAAGTTTGAGAGACTCCATCTCCAAAAATAACCAGCCAAAATCTGGCTGGAAATGTGGCTAAAGTTATAGAGCTCCCAACCAAGCAAGCAAGCCAACCCTGTGTTCAAACTCCATTACCAATATACATATGCATACACATATACATATGTGTGTATGTGTACATGTGTGTGTGTATGCCACACACGCACTGCTGGAGCTTCAACTCTAGATCTTTAGTTCTGGCTTGGCTTTTTCACTCAGGACAGAAAAGAGCCACACCTCCAGTTCCAAGTGCTAGGGTTGGAACTCAGTCCCTCCTCCTTTCTAAGCAGGTACTCTGCAAGATATTTATAAAAGACAGCATGTCTTTGAGTGGCACAACCTTCAAGTGATCTATCTTAACTAAATATATTTAGATTTCAACTGAACAACAGGAACTATATAAAGCACAGTATATAGTAATATAATATGTACAGTATTATTATACACGAGATATTTTGTGATGACCTACTTTTTTTCTGTGTGAAATCTGCTTTCTCATTTTAGGTTTTTGGGCCATTTATATGCTGCAGAAGCCCTCATCTCTCTCGACAGAATATCCGATGCTATTACTCATTTGAACCCAGAGAATGTCACTGATGTCTCCTTAGGGATCTCTTCAAATGAGCAGGACCAAGGTTAATGAGGACACACTTGATCAGAACTGGTCATTGTTGCCAGTTCTTCCTGTCATAATCAGGATGTGAGGAAATCTAAGGGCATGGTGTGGAGGGTAGGAAGTCTCAGGTGGCCTTTTCACATTTTTTTTTTTTTTTGGCTGCACTTAATGAAGTAATTGCTTGCTAAGTAAACCTGGGAGTTGATTATCATATCTTACTTTTGAAGGCTGGTAGAGTCAGGAAAATTCTCTTCCCTTCCCTTTCCTTTTCTCTCTTGTCCTCACTTTCTGTCCTCTCCTATTTCTTTGGTAAGAAGCAGGGTCTCAATATATTGTGCAGGCTGTCCTCAAACTCCTGGGCTCAGGTCATCCTTAGCTGCCTGAGTCACTGGAACTACAGATATGTGCCACCATGCCCAGCTTAAGATTAATTTTGACTTGGTTCTGATACGGTAATTTTGGTTTGAACCAATTCCACAATCCAGGCAGTAATAAAAGAACTATATTCAAAAAGCCAATTTCAGATTATATTTAAGTTTTAGGGGAAGTGAAATTGAGTAGCATTCACTTCATTCAGGGTTAGCACTCAGGCTTGGGGTGGTGTGGGTGGCATTCTGACATCTTTACTACAACCTCCACTACATGAAAGGTGATATCATGACAAATTTTGCTACATTAGGTTTCCATTTCATAAAGAAACTTAGGCTTTTAGAAGATACACTCTGTTGTCCTATCCCTCAGATTTATTTTCATGTATTTGTAGGATCAGACAAGGGTGACAATGAAGCAATGGAGTCCTGTAAGTAAGAAGTTTTGTAAATACTAAAGTAGCCTGGCCTGCATCCCAAAGACTTAGACCCTACATCTTTTGTGTCCTTCATTTATTTGTGAGCCTGAGGAACAGTGCTGGCTTTGTTCTGAGTGGATTGGGTGGTGGGCTGGGTTGCTCTTGCCCAGCCTTTTCATCAGTGTCTACCCTTTCTCCCCAGCTGGGAAGCGGGCCCCACAGTGCTACCCCAGTTCTGTCAACTCTGCCCGGACTGTGATGCTGTTCAACCTGGGCAGTGCGTATTGCCTGAGGAGCGAGTACGACAAAGCCCGGAAGTGTCTGCACCAGGTGAGGCAAGGCCACAGGGCCACGCAAGAATCTGAGCTGCCTTGTTCTTACAAGCAGCAGGCAAATCATTCGAAGTCATGGCTTTTCTTAATTTATTTGAAGCATCTGGTTGGTTTGTTTTAAACATTAAAGTATTACTTTCCCTGCCTTAAAAAAAAATTCTTGTAGTTCAGCATTGTATATGAACATGAACACTTACTGAATGAAAAGTATTTCCTGATTTTTTATGTATTTATTTTTTTGGTGTTAATACTGGGTCTTGAAATTAGGACCTGGGCATTGTCATTTAGCTATTTTGCTCAGGGCTGGTGCTCTGCCACTTGAACCATGGCTTCACTTCTAGTGTTTTTGCTAATCAATTGGAGATGAGAGTCTCATGGACTTTCCTGCCCATAATTGTTTTGAAGTGCAATTCTCAGATCTCATCCTATGGGGTTTTGGTTTTGTTTCGTGACAATTCTAGGACTTGAACTCAAAGTCTGTGTACTGACTCTGAGCTTTTTTGCTTATAGCTCTACTATTTGAGCCACAGCTCTACTTCTGGCTTTTTGGTGATAATTGGAAATAAGAGTCTCAGTCTTTCCTTCCTGCACTGTTTTCAATCCAGATCCTGAGATCTCAGTCTCTTGAGTAACTAAGATTACAGATGTGAGCCACTGGTGCCTGGCTTCATCCTATGATCCTATGATTTTAGTAATTAAAACTTCAAAAAATGGAGAAATGGGTCAGGAATGTAGCTTAGTGGTAGAGTGCTTGCCTAGCATGCATGAAGCCCTGGGTTCAATCCCTTAGTACCATATAAACAGAAAAAGCCGGAAGTGATGCTATGGCTCAAGTGGTAGAGCACTAGCCTTGAACACAGAGAGGCTCAGGGACAGAACCCTAGGCCCTGAGTTCAAGCCCAGACTGGAAAAAATAATAATAATGTTTATAATCCCAGCTACAGGAGGCAGTTGGTTGGAGGATTGCAGAGCAAAGCTAGCCCCAGGCAAAAATGCAAAGCCCTACCTGAAAAATAAAAAGGCAAAATCATTCTAGCTACTTAGGAGGCTGAGATCTGAGGATAGTGGTTCAAAGCCAGTCTGGAGCCGGGCACTGGTGGCTCAGGCCTGTAATCCTAGCTGCTACACAGGAGGCTGAGATCGGTCTGGGCAGGAAAGTCTGTGAAACTCTTCAATAAACAGAAAAAGCTGAAGGTAGCCCTGTGGCTCAAGTGGTAGAGTGCTAGCCTTGACCACAAAAGCTCAGGGACAGCAAACCCCAGGACTGGAAGGAAAAAAAAAAAGAGCAAAAAGAATTGGAAGTATGGCTCAAAATAAAGTAAATAAGAGGCAGGAAGGAAAAGGGATAGGAGAAAATGAAGCTGCTTGCCCCCATGTGTAGTGATGCACACCTATACTATAATCTCTAAATTTAGGAGTCAGAGGCAGGATGAGTGCAAGTTCCCAGGCCAGCCTGAGCTACATAGTGAGACTGCTTGTAATGTTGAACTAAAATTGCCCCTGGATTTTACCACTGAGATGGTGTGTCAGCAGGCCTCCAGGCAGAGGACCACCCATCCTTGGAAAAATGAATGGGGCTGTACTAGAGGACACCTGGCATCAGCATTGACTCCCCAGCATGGGGAAGGGTAATTCCTCTGAAGGCCATGCCTGCAGCACACACCTGTCAAGTGCTCACTGTGTGCCAAGCCATGGGAGTGAGACAGAAACAAATAGACTTATATGTCTGCTTCTTACAAGACTTCCTATAGAATTTTTTTTATTGTGAAAATACCGTACAGAGGGGTTACATGGGCAAGGTAATGAGTACTTTTCTTATCAGGCATTGTTGCCTCCTCCTTTGTTTCCCCTTACCCTATAGAATTTTAATACTTCTATACAGGAAGATTGTGCAAATGGCCCATAGTGAGAAAGCCCACCTGTGCTTGCCATAGGAACCGAAATTGAAATTAAACCTGCTCTCAGGAGACAGGACAGCTTCAATAAATAATACAAGGAAATTGATATTTCGTAAAAGTGGGTGCTGAACCATAGGAAATGGCTACAAATAATATTCAGTCAACTTAGTAGCATCTGGTCAGCATTTCTGATCCCAGTCAGCAGGTTCAGTAACATACTTGGGGGAAAAGCAGTTAGTGTTCTGCAAGGGTTCAATAGCAAGTTACTCTGGGGAGTGTTTAAAGCCCTCCGTAGCTGAGACACAGTGGGGTCAAGCCTGGTTCAGGGGCTGAGGAGGTTTGTTTTGGTCCCTTGGTTTCTAGGTTAATCCAGTGGCTGGACCTTTGTTAATTGGGAGGCCACCCTGCCTAGGAGACCAGAAGCATGATGTGAAGAGTTGGCAAGGGCTTCCAGTAGATGTTTCCAAGGGCGCCTGCCCCCCACTAAGCAGTGTGAATAGCCAATAAGCAAAGTGCCATGGAAGTTTCACAAAATTATGCCTTGATTTCTTTTATTTTAGAAAAAGCTGCATATAGATAGTACAAAGAACAAAAAGGACCCCTGTTTACTAGCCACTTAAGAGAAAAGATTTTATTATCTGCAGGGTGATGTAACAATGTTTTTAGTATATTTAAAGCTCAGCCTACTAGTATAAAAATCCCATGTTCTGGGCTGAGTTGTTACCCCTCATTGACCTGAGTGAGAGGAATAGGCACCTCATGAGCACGCCTGTGCTGAGCTGAAGAAACAGGCTTTGGGGACGACAGTCATGCTGTCAGGACCAAACTATGGTGTTCACTCCTCAGCTTTCCATGCCATTTCTCCTGAGGTCTGCCCTTCCTATCTGACCCTCAGTGCCTCCCTCCCTCCACAGCTGTATTCAGATAAACCTTTCCAAATTCACCATGGTTTCACTTGCCTCACTCAGCCTAACTTTTGGGTGACTTCATTGTGCTTTTGGGTGACTTCGTTGTTGTTAGGTATTTACACTCAATCCGTATTTGTGAAAACACATTTGCAGTTCCACTGAGGGAAGAAGTGAAGCACTCTGGAGCAACAAGCAACTCAAACTAGATGGGAACCACTGAAACTAGCTGGAAAATGCGGGTTGATATTCAGGCTAGGGAAAGACGACAGGAACAGCCTGAGGAAGTGAATCTAATGTTAGTACTCTTGACCAAAGCAGTCTAGGTTTCCTTTCCTTTTAGTACTGACTAGTGCTATGGCTCTTTCTCATGTTAGCCAGGTGCTGGTGGCTCAGTCCTGTAATTCTAGCTACTCAGAAGGCTGAGATCAGAGGATCACATTCCAAAGCCAGTGCAGGCAGGAAGGTCTGTTACCTCTACTAATCTACCAGCAAAGCTGGAAGTGGAGCATTGGTTCAAGGGGTAGAGTGCTAGTTTGAGCAAAAGCTGAGGACCGCTCCCAGGTCCTGAGTTCAAGCCCTAGAACTAGTACCAAAAAACGACAACAGAGGCTGGGAAGTTGGCTCAGTGGTTGAGTTCTTGCCTCACTTGCATGACGCCCTGGGTTTGATTCCTCAGCACTACATAAGCAGAAAAAAGCTGGAAGTGGTGCTGTGGCTCAAGTGGTACGGTGCTAGCCTAGAGTAGAAGAGCTGAGGAACAGGGCCTAGGCCCAGAGTTCAAGCCCCAAGACCATTAAAAACAACAACAAAGAAACAAGTAAATTAGTTTATTTTACTAAGTTGTATTGTGTTTAAGACTAGGCCTAGTAGTGTTCCTTTGTAGTCTCAGCAGTAGAGGGACTAAAGTAGAAGGATCATGAGTTCAAAGCCAGCCTAGGCTACATATTAGAACCTGTCTTAACTGAGCACCCGTGGCTCAAGCCTATAATCTTAGCTACTCAGGAAGCTGAGATCTGAGGATCTTGGTTGAAGACAGCCCAGGCAGAAAAGTCCATAAGATTCATCTTCAATCCACTACCAAAAGTCAGAAATGGAAATGTGGCTCAAGTGGTAGAGCACCAGCCTTGAGCAAAAAGCTAAGGGACAGCTTCTAGGCCCTGAATTCAAGACAGGAGGGGATCCTGTGGAAATGAGCTTGAATAAGTTTAGCTTTAGATTTTTCTATTTTCTTTCTCTCTGTTTAACATTCCTTGGGTGTTTGTGTCTTAAACTGTTGGTTGTTCATGATGTCTTTTGTTCTGAGCAAAGGCGGCTTCAATGATCCATCCTAAGGAGGTTCCCCCTGAGGCCATCCTGCTGGCAGTCTATCTGGAACTGCAGAATGGTATGTAATCAAAGACCCTTGCTCAAGAAAAATCAAATCTTATGTCTTCCTTGACGATGTACTCATCCATGGGCTGTGAAGGTGGCTCAGCGGTAGAGTGCTTGCCTTGCATGCCTGAGGCCCTGGGTTCCATTCCTCAGCACCACATAAGCAAAAAGAAAAAAGCCAAAAGTGACGCTGTGGCTCAAGTGGTAGAGCGCTAGCCTTGAGCTGAAGAACTGAGGGACAGTGCTCAGGCCCAGAGGTCAGGCCCCACGACCGGATCAAAAAAAAAAAAAAAAGATGATGTACTCATCCAGTTCTTCTACATGAAATGCAGCAAGGGCTACTACTGGTTATCCCTCAGTGTTATACCACTAATGTATGTGAGGGTATGGATTCTACTTCTGGCACCTGGCTTGCCTGTATTTTAACAATTCTCCAACTAGGCGATACCTGAGAATCCTTAAGGAATTTTAAAAACCTATTGCCAGAATCAGGAGCTGGTGGCTGACACCTGTAATCCTAGCTATTCAGGCAGCTAAGATCTGAGGTTCTTGATTTGAAGCCAGCCCAGGCAGGACGGCTGTGAGACTCTTTTCTCCAATTAACCAGCAAAAGACCAGAAGTGGAGCTGTAACTCAAGTGGCAGAGAACTAGCCTTGAGCAAAAAGCTCAGGGACAGCACTTAGCCTCTGAAGTGAGCCCTAGGACCAGCGCGCGCGCACTCGCGCGCGTGCACACACACACACACACAATCAACCAATCAATCTTAGGCTGCCGTGGTGCTCTCTTGTATTTCCCATATACCATCAGGGCTTCAGACCTCTGCTTCTTTAGACAAATTGTACCTCGCCTACAGGATCCTAACAGCCTGCTGTCTCTGCTGTTGGCAGTGTTATATGCTTTTTTTTAATATGGAGTGTTTTTATAGGTAATACCCAGCTGGCCTTACAGATCATCAAAAGGAATCAGCTCCTCCCTACCGTGAAGACACATTCAGAAATGAGAAAGAAGCCAGTGTTTCAGCCTGTGCACCCAATCCAACCCATCCAAATGCCAGCCTTCACTGCTGTTCAGAGGAAGTGATTGCTTTTGAGAAAGTCTCCTGACACAAAGGGCAGTATTTACTCGTGTTTTCACTTGTATCACTGCAGAATGAATGAATAACAGACTGAGGTAAAGGATGCAAGTTTTGAAGCACAGTTTTAAGACTGTTTTATTCTTCTTGCCAGAAAGTTACTTAAAATTAAGGATTCACAAACTTGTTTTCAGCTATTTTTCTTTTAAACTCTGACAGACTTAATTTTGAACCATTATTTGATCTATGTGTCATAGACAATTAAAACAAGATCCTGTCAGAACAGCCTTGTGGTCTTTCTTACAACTCTTGGAGTATTTTCACATGTGAAATTTAGTAAGGTTTTTTTGTTCGTTTGTTTTTGTTTTTGTTTTTTTGTCGGTCATGGGACTTGAACTCTGGGCCTGGCCGCTGACCCTGAGCTCTTCAACTCAAGGCTAGCACTCTACCACTAGCCACAGCACTACTTCTGGTTTTCTGGTGGTTTATTGGAAATAAGAATCTCACGGACTTTCTTGCCCAAGCTGGCTTTGAACTGTGATTCACAGATCTCAGCCTCCTGAGTAGTTAGATTACAGACATGAGCCACCGGCGCCTGGCTTAAATTTAGTGTTTTAAAAAGGACTGGAGTCCAGTGCCTGTTGCTCATACCCAAAATCCTAGCTACTCAAGAGACTGAGGTCTGAGGATCATGGTTCAAAGCCAGCCTGGGCAGGAAAGTCTTATTTCCAATAAACTACTAGAAAACCATAAGTGGCACTATGGCTCAAGTGATAGAGCTCTCACCTTGAACTGAAGAGCACAGGGACAGTGCTCAGGCCCAGAGTTCAAGCCCCACGACTGACCAAAAAGAAAAGAAAAGAAAACATAGTAGACATTGTTTTGATTTTCCAAGACTAAATATTCTATGTTTAATGTAGGTATAATAATAATGGGTGTGCACGTCGTTCACATACCCAATGGTACTGAAGCTTGAAATTGGGCCTGAGCACTATTCCTTAGCTTGTATGTGTGTATTCTTGTCCTGGGGCTTAACTCAGGGCCTGAGCATTATTCCATAGCGCGCGCGCGCGTGTGTGTGTGTTCAGGGCCTGGGTGCTATCCCTGAGCTTTTTTGCTCAAGGCTAGCGCTCTTCTACTCCCAGCTTTTTTGGTCAATTGGAGATGAGTCTCGTGGACTTTTCCTGCCCATGCTGGCTTTGAACTGCTATCCTCGGATCTCAGCCTCTTGAACGGCTAGTATTACAGGAATGAGCCATTGATGCCCAGCTCCCTTAGCCTTTTCACTCAAGTCTTGCATGCTTACCACTTAAGTTGCAGCTTACCACTTAAGTCCATTTCTGACTTTTTGGTGGTCAGTTGGAAATAAGAATCTCACAATCTTTATTGCCCAGGCTGACTTTGAAACAGAATTCTCAGATCCTAGCCTCCTAGCTACTCAGGGAGCTGGGATTATAGGCAAGAGCCATCATCATCCAGCTGCTAAATGCATTTTTAATTGACCATGAGTTTATCAAGACCTAACCACATTGTACATTTGATAAGTGGAGGAGCCTGGGTACACTTGCCTGATTTGTGGCTGACCAGGACCTAGTGCTCCCTGCTGCTGTCCCAACTACCTCACAAGAGAGTGATCATGCCACATAATGAAAAGATCAAACTAGCTGGGTGCCAGTGGCTCACGCCTATAATCCTAGCTACCAAGGAGGCTAAGATCTGAGGATCACTGTTTAAAGCCAGCCTAGGCAGCAAAGTCCATGAGACTTGTCTCCAATTAACCACCAGAAAATGGAAATGGCACTGTGGCTCAAGTGGTAGAGTTCAAGTCCCACGACCAACAAAAAAAAAAAAAGATCAAACTTCCAAGCATGGTTGCTTTCCATGCTTATTATTTTCACATCATGGTGAGTTAAAAGTCTAAATTGAACCACTTCTATTTTTTTGGTTGGTCCTGGGACTTGAACTCAGAATCTGGGTACAGTCCCTGAGCTCTTTTGCACAAGGCTAGTGTTCCACCACTTTGAACCACAGCTCCACTGGTTTTCTAGCTAATTGGAGATAAAAGTCTCATGAACTTTCCTGCCCAGGCTGGCTTCAAGCCACAATCCTCAGATCTCAGCCTTCTGAGTAGCTAGGATTTAAGCCACCAGTGCCTGGCTTGAACTGCTTTTTTTTTTTTTGGGGGGGGGGGGGGTCCGGTTGTGGGACCTGAACTCTGGGCCTGAGTGCTTTCCCTCAGCTCTTCAGCTCAAGGCTAGCACTTTACCACTTGAGCCACAGCACCACTTCCGGCTTTTTTCTTTTTTTTTCCTTTTTTTTTTTTTTTTTGTTGGTCGTGGGGCTTGAACTCTGGGCCTGGGCGCTGTCCCTCAGCTCTTCAGCTCAAGGCGAGCGCTCTACCACTTGAGCTACAGCGCCAGTTCCGGTTTTCTGGTGGTTTATTGGAGATAGGAGTCTCATGGTCTCTCCTGCCCGGGCTGGCTTTGAACCGCGATCCTCAGATCTCAGCCTCCTGAGTAGCTAGGATTATAGGTGTGAGCCACCAGCGCCCAGCAGCTTTTTTCTTTTTGCTTATGTGGTGCTGAGGAATTGAACTCAGGGCCTCAGGCATGCAAGGCAAGCACTCTACCACTGAGCCACCTTCCCAGCCCTTGAACTGCTTTTAAGTCCGACTGGCTATACACATATTCTGGAGTATAGGTATGTTTGCTATATTCATTACTCCAAGATGGATTAGATCCTGAGAACAAGCCCCATTGGCTCTGTTCAAGTTCTAGCTCTTGGGCTGGGAGTGTAGCTTACTGGTAGAGTGCTTGCCTAGTATGCATGAAGCCCTGGGTTAGATTCCTCAGTACCACATAAACAAAAAGCCAGAAGTGGTGCTGTGGTTCAAATGGTAAGAGTGCTAGCCTTGAGCACAGAGCGGCTCAGGGACAGTGCCCAGGCCCTGAGTTAAAGCCCAGGATTGGCAAAAAAAAACAAGCCCCAGCTCTCCTTCCACTATCTGCAGTGGGCCACCACTCCTGGTGGACTCTTCAGGATCAAGGCTGACTAAGCAGCTCCAGTGGCCTCCTGAAATGTGCATAGTGGGTCAAAGTGTCACCATCAAGGCATCTTGGGCAATGATGTTGACTTTCAGAAAACTAGAGGTGAAATCCCACTTGCCCACCCCCAGGTGATAGGCCCCGAACCCCTAGAAGCAGGGGGAAGGGGGGGCCGTTGGACAATAGGTTGCAAGACCTGCCAGACCTGTACCATGAGACTGAACTCTTGAGCTCCCTAACCATGACCTTATTTAGGCCTTACCACCCCTGCTGCCATTGTGCCAGGTGTGTGTCTCCTGACTCTCCTCAGGTCTCCATGGCATCCCTGTTCAACTCTCCATTAAAGTTGATCTGGTTTGTTTTTCTGCTCTTTTCTTTGCTACCCTCGTGGCTCAGATTCCTAACTAACATTGGAGTGTTTTGGAGACATGTCCACTCACAGTCACCGGCTTTTTAGTAAAGACTAGATTCAACCTCTCAGAATGTGGCTTCTCTGCATCTCTTGGTCAAATTCCTGTACAACAGCCTTAAGAAGCCACTAGGAAGCCTGGTGCCAGTGGTTTAGGCCTGTAATCCTAGGTATTCTGGAGGCTGAGATCTTAACCATGATAATACCAGAAGCGGAGGTGTGTCTCAAGTAGTAGAGCACCAGCCTTGAACAGAAAAAGTTGAGGATGTTGGGGCTGGGAAGATGGCTCTGTGGTAGAGCGCTTGCCTTGCATGCATGAGGCCCTGGATTCGATTCCTCAGCACCACATAAGCAAAAAAAAAAAAAAAAAGCTGGACGTGGCACTGTGGCTCAAGTGGTAGAGCGCTAGCCTTGAGCTGAAGAGCTGAGGGACAGCGCCCAGGCCCAGAGTTCAGGCCCCGTGACTGGACCAAAAAAAAAAAAAAAAGTTGAGGATGTGAGGCCCCAAGTTCAAGCTTCAATACCAGAACAAAAAGCTAAAAAGAGAGATACCTAATAACTCATGGTTTTCAATACCAGATGCAGCTTCCAGTCATGACTCTGTCATTAGGACAAATTAATTGGGAACAAGGCACTGCTTTCATGCCTGTGCCTTAGATGAGGCATGATGGAAGATCAATGTAGCAGTGGATCTGTACCTACTTCCTGTGGTTGTAATGAGGCCTGGCTGTTGTTACTGCCTTAACCCCAGATCTTCACATGGGAACTCAGTAGCTCCTCAGAAGTACTGACATCTACCAGCGGGTTCTTATCATATGTCTTGTGTCTGGTTCACAGTAGCCCAATGAATATGCTGTCTTGGATCCTCACCCATTCTTCCCCTGTCTTGCCCAGGTCTTCCTCTTGGGAAGCGAGGTCCTGGGCTTCCCTACCTAGGGTACCTTCTCCTACCCTCTTCTCATTATAGCCTCTAAATTCCTGCTGGTGGGCTGGGAATGTGGCTTAGTGGTAGAGTGCTTGCTTAGCATGCATGGAGCCCTAGGTTGAATTCCCCAATACCACATAAACAGAAAAAATGGAAGTGATGCTGTGGCTCAAGTGGTAGAGTGCTATCCTTGAGAAAAAGAAGCTCAGGGACAGTGCCCAGGCCCTGAGTTTAAGCTCCTCAACTGGCAAAAACAACAACAAAAATTCCTACTGCACAGTGCTACCTTCTCCCTATAGGATCCCACAGGAGCACTTGTACAAGAGTGTGTGATAACTGCTCCAGCCTCCCCACGAATCTCCCCCACCCCCCATACACCCAGAGGTTCTGGAACCAGATTCCCAGCCATCACCCAAAAGGACTTAGCATTTTCTATCACACCAGCTGTACCCTTGATCTGCACTGCTCAATTTTCTCTCACAGTTCCAGTGGGGCAACCTGTGTGTTCCTGTCCTGGGCCTTGAATGCACTGTACCTTAGCTTTTTCACTCAAGGCTGGCGCTCTACCACTTAGGCTCAGCTCCACTTGTGGTTTTGGGGTGGTTAGTTGGAGCCTCTGGGCCACTAGCTCCTGGCCTAATGATTTCAAGGTAAGCCCAATAGGACAGTGTAAAATCTAAAAGAATGCCCTTTAGTCCATGTCATCTATGACACCTTGTCAACTGTTGTCTTTTCCCAGTGAGAGCAGGCTGTGGATGGTTCTAGATGAACAGTCAAATCTGCTGGGTAGAAAATTTGGTGCTATTTCCTTTCAAGCCAGGGCGTAGGGTGGAGCTGGTGTGAGGGTCACTGGCTCTGCACCCTTGACCCTTTGAGTGTCCTGGGGCGTGAGGTGCACA